ATGCATATCTACATCCATAAGTACATATGCATATGTACATACATCAATTTCTTTTCTGTCCATATAAGCTCTGCGAGAATATTCTGCTCTGAATTCATAGCTACTGAATATTTCCCTGCAACGAAATCCCAGTATTTTTCTAACCAGCCAAGAGAGTAAGCATTAATCCTTTGGCATAGCCGCAGAATCGTGCCAAATCGGTTTTCATAGATTTTATTTTGCATATTGAAATGTTTTTGTTTTTTGTTTTTCTTGTTTTTTTTTAATTTCAATTTGTTGATCAGAGTTTGCAAGAAACATTTAAAATTGTTTATGCTGTTCGTTTGTTATTGTTATAAACATTAATTCATTTGTTTGTTATTTTTTATTTATACATATATATATATATGTATATACAAATATACATATATATACATATATATATATATATATATATATATATACATATATTTATATATGCACTATGTATTATAAGTGTTGTGCTTTCTTTAATTTTTTACAGTGTACCAAGTTGTTGCTCTATTATGTAGATTATCATATGAGATATTTATTTATATATTAAATTTTTTATATATATATTTTTTTCGATTTTCTTTTTATTTTGTGTTTTTTTTTTGTTTGTTTTTCTTTTTCTTCTTAATTACCACAACAAGCGTTTCCAGTTTTCTTATTTGATTTACTAACAAATAACTATTTATATTTATATTTATTTATATATATATATATATACTTAGAGAGAGCAATCGCTTGATCGGAATTTCGAGCTCGAAATCCAATTGGCAACTGCATACATATACATATACATATATTCGAAATGGATTACCGTTTTGTAAATAGTTGGAGTTTTATACAGAGACTATGCATATTTAAGCTATTAATACTCGTTTGGTAATTTTACATTCTTTTCTCTTTGACGTCAAGAGAGCTTTATGTGTGCGTGTGTGTGTGGAGACTATTCGGCATTTCGAAATGGGATTCGGAGTGAACCAAAAAATTTGCAATTTCGCTTATGTGTGTTTTTCTTAGTGTGTGTGTTTTGCCGTTATCTTGCTTGGGTGTGTGTGTGTTTTAATTTGTATTTGTGTGGGTGTATATATGTTCTGCCAAACATATGTTGGTGCATGTGTCTGTGTGTGTGAGTTCTGTGTGAGTGCATATGTGTGTTCCTGTGTTTGTGTGATGTGCCATAATCTAGCTTAGGCATGTGTGTGTCTTTCTTTGTGTTTGTTTGTGTGTTACCTTGTATGTGTGATGTATGTGTTTTTCCCTGTGTGTGTGATGTTTTTGTGTGTGTGTGTTATGACATAAGTCTTCTGTTGTATGTGTGTGTTTTCTGTTCATGTTTTTCTGTTCGCTGTAAATAATGATTAAAATTAAGTTTTCGTTAGTTTAATTTATTTTTTATTTATTTAATCTACACCTAAAATGTTGTTTTTTTGCTTTTTTCATATATATAATTATAGTTTTCCCATGCAAAAGAAGAATCTTAAAAACGTTTAAGTACATATAAAAAATATTATATATATATAGCAATATATATAAATATATACATACAAATACATATATATTTATATATATTTTGCATTACACTCATACATACATATACATATATACAAATACGAGTTGAGTATGTGAGCAACTAGTGAAAAATGGGAAATGGAAATAAAAATTATCAAAATGGAAAATCAACTCAAATTGGGATCTGATCAAAGCTATATAGGTTCTCTAAGATCGATTATATATAAAAAGTTATTAAATGCTGAGAAGGAAATGAAAAGAAAACAAACAAAAAACATGCAACAACGAGAGTTCAAATCTAAATATGTTTTTAATTTATTTATTTTATATATATTTTTATATTTTTTTGTTTTTTTTTTTTATTTCTAAACAATATTTAAACAGTCTGTGTGTGTGTCTATGTAAGAGTATGTGTGTGTTTGTATATTCAAATACCATTATTTTTCCCTATATTTCTTGTTTTGTTTTTATTTTTTGCATTTTTGCTTTGCTTTCTTTTTACCCGTATTTATAGTTGCAAATTTCAAATCATAAAGTTTTTAACATCACATTTTTATTTATTTATTTTTATGGAGAAGAAATAGAGCCAAGAAATCCAAAAAGATAACTTTCATGGATATTCTGTGTATATATATATATATATATTTTGTGTGTGTGTATTGAGTATTTAGTCTTAAAAACGTTCATTGTAATAGATTGCTTGTATGTATGTAAATTTTAGAGCATGCAAGGCCAAACATACTTATATAGATATATATATATATGTTTGTTTGTGTGTGTGTGTGTATTACATATATAAGCAGCGGTCCGTTTCCTTGTATGTGTGCACTGAGCACTTGCAATCTGGATTATGCATAGCCAGCCATACTAACTGCATGCTGTGTATGTGTATGCGTGTGTCTGTATGTGTTTACATGTATTGTCATCTTTATATATGTAAGTATGCATGGCCATACATACGAACTGCATATGCATGCATGTGTATAAGTATGCTTTGAGTGAGTCTTTCATAGAGCATGGCCATACACAGTAGCTATGCATATGTGTGTGTGCGTGTTCATTGAGTATGCTTAAGAAGCTTTTGTCCCTTCAGACTAGCCACGTATGCATGGTCATAGCTGCAACTGCATGCTGTATGTAAGTATGAGTGAGCTTTACTCTTGACAGCTGCAGACATATGCAAGCATGTATGTGTGTGTGTATGTGTATTAAGTATTAGTCTCAATTTGCATGTTTGTGTGTGTGTGTGAGTATGTATTATAGGCCAAGAAGTCATTATGTTTCTATATAGCGGAAGTCGGGGCTGATTTCTGTGTGTATAAAGCTTTTCTTTTGTCACAAATGCCGTCGTTTGAGTACATTTTGTTGTTTTGAGATATTTTTTATTATTTATACTGAAAATAAAAAATTGCTTATCAAATGAAAATCCAATGCAAACCAACAAAAAGAAATCAACAAATCAAAAATGTTTTTTTTTTTTAATAATTTTTTTCTTCAGTTTTTCCTTTTAAGAATTCTGTATTTTGTTGCTGTTGTTGTTTTGTTTTTGTTTTTGTTTGTGTTTTCAGTTTTTTTTATTAATTTTGTTTGTTTTTTTTTTTTATATTTTTAAGTTGCATTTTTTTTGTTTTGTTTCCATTTATTATCGCTTACACTTACAATGCTAATCTTTTACACGCTAAAGAAAGTACAGCTACGCATATTAATTGTAGTTTATTATTAACTTTATGTATATACATATATATATATATATATATATATATATATATATATATATATATATATATATGTATATATATACATATATATATATATATATATATATATATATATATATATATATATATATGTATATATATATATATACATATATATGTATATGTGTGTGTGTTTATATATATTATAATTTTCGCATTTTGTTTTGGATTTAAAATATTTATCGAATGCACAAGCATTGAAGTTTCTGCAGTTACAATTAAAAATATTACCTTGTATAAAAATAATAATAATAATAATAATATTAATAATAGCATACATTAATAGTGTTCTCTCTGTGTGTGTATGGGTATATATGTGTGTGTATGTGTTTACATAATTACTCTTGCCCAATCGATCTCACACATATCTTTATCGAATTCGCAACTGTTCGCTTCTCACTTCTCGCTCCTCTCTATCCGCTTCTCATTTCTGTATTTCATAGTTAAAATACCTAAATGTAGTTTAATTGTTGTTACAGCATAAGTTAATTTAATTTACGTACATTGAAAAATGTTGCTCCTACTACATTCTCATATTTTATTTAATTTTTTTGTTTTCTTTTTGTTTTTTTTTTTTTTTGTTAACGCACGCTGCCAACGCCTATCGAGTGGGCGTGGCAGCGTTGCTAAAGCGCGTGGTTCTGAAACGGCATTAGCTGGAAAGCCAAATTGCCAAATGTTCACGAATGAGTGTGTGTGTGTGTGTGTGTGTGTGTGAGTGTATGTGTGTGTGTACATGTTGAGATGCCAACTAACATTATTTTGTATTGTATTACTTAACATATTTATTAGCTTTATATCATTCAAAGTTATCAAATATTTACAGTTTGCTATTTAACACATGAGTTGTTGTTGTTGTTGTTTTTATTAGTTTTCTTTTATTTGTTTATAGTTTATAGTCTAATTTAGTTGGTTTGCTTGGCTGGTTGCTTGCTTGGTTGGTTGGTTGGTTTCCTCAATGCGGGGCTGAGCGCTACTATGTTAATATATATATATATATATTTATATGTATATATATTTGTTAATATTTAGGCTTTAGGGTTAGGCGATCTTGAAAATAAGACCTGAATCGTTACACACATCTAAAATTAAGCGAACTTTTGTTATTGGTGGCTTCTCCTATATCGACTTTTATACACTTCATCTGCATCTGCATCTCCATCTGCATCTTCGTTTCGTTTCGTTTAGTTTAGTTTTGTATGTATGCAAGTGCAAGCAACTATCCGAAAACAAGTTACATATTACATAATAATCATAAGAGTTACATAAATCATAACGCCCAGCCCCACTCCGCTCGAGTCGACTCCACGCTTCAGCGAGATCCCTCCCATCCGATCCGATACCATTCCATTTCGCAATATATTTTACAATTATCCAATTTAGGGGGCTGGCGGAGGGTCTCGCAATTTGTATATATTCACATCGAATATTTGTAGGTATTTGCTTTATATATATGCAATATGAATTTCTATATATATAATCTATATATTTTTATGTAATTGCAGCAGCAGCAGCAGCAGCAGTTGCTCTCCTATGCAGACGTCTGCTTGCCCAGCTTGACCAGGCAGAGAGCGCAGCAGCATTGCGGCGGCTGCAGCAACTGACCCAGGGCAAGCATCAGCGGACTGGACCTCGTTGCCGCTACGGATGGCGTAAGGCTGAGCGAGGTGCCGCTGGGCAGATTAAGTGTGCAACAGCCTCCACTTGACATTGGATGTTAGCTGCTGTCCGCGTCTCATCTGTTTATCGTTGGAGTTGCGTTCACATTGCTCGTTGTTGCGTTCATTCCGCCTCCACCTGTGCCGCTGCCGTTGTTGTTGTTGTTGCTGCTGTTTGCATTGTTGTTGTTGTTACTATTACTGTTGTTGTTGTTGTTATTGGTGTTGGTAGGTAGCACAACGCCGCCATTGTTGGCACTAGCAATCACCTGCTCCACAGTCACATGCACCTTGCCCACCTCCTTGGCGATGGCATCCGCTGCTGCACCCACATTGTTCGCATTGCTGGTGACTAGCTGGCGTATGGTCGTCGGCGTGCCTCCGCCTCCGCCGCCGCCTGTACTGTTGACAGTGGTGCCCAGCGGCAGAGTTCGCGTCAATATGCCAGAGTTATTCAGTCGTCCGCGCAGCACCTGCTGCAGCCCGGCGGCACCGAGCTGCATCTGCATCTGGCCGCTGTTGTTCTTCTGCAATGGCTTCATATTCAGCAGGCTCGTGTAGAGCACGCGCTTATCCCCAGCCGAGCCCGGCACCTGCACTTGCGCCCCGCCTGCCTTGAGCTTTTGGTGTTGCTGCAGCTGCTGCTGCTGCATGGCGGTGGGCAGCGGAGAGCCTGTCTTATTCAACACCACAGTGGTGGCGCCCAGCTGCTGTGACGCTTGGCTCACCAGCGTGTCGGCCGCATTGCCTGTCGTGGCAGTGCTCACGAAGTTCAACTTGACATTGGCATTGGGCAGCTCCTTGTAGTGGATCTTCTGCTGACCCGCGTTGCTGGCAGCCACAGCTGCCTGCAGTTCGCTGGCCGTGGCTATGAAATTGCCGCCGCTGCCACCGCTGCTATTGCTCGTGAGGAAGATCTTGTTGGCCTGCTGTGGCCCCGCCTGGGAGGTGATTATGGCTGTTGCCGGCTGCAGGCTGTAGTTGTGATTGGCCGCAATGGTCGCTGCTGAATTGGGCTTCTGCTGTTGCTGCGGCTGATTGAGGTCCGACACAATCAGCGGAAAAGGCGACATTTTAATCACCTTGCTGAACTTTTGCAGTTGCTGATGTTGCTGCTGCTGCTGTTGCAGATGTTGATGTTGTTGCTGCTGTTGCTGTTGCTGCTGCAGTGCATCGCTGCCGTCCTGCAGTGTCAGCTGCTCGCCAGCACCACTAGCCACCAGCTCATCTTCCTGCTGCACCAACTGTTGCAGCTGTTGTTTCGTTAGCTGGAACTGCTGCTGCGTCACGGCCTGCTGTGTCACCGCCTGCTGCACCACCTTACGCTGCGCGAACTTCCGGTTCAGCAGCAGTTTGTTATAATCTGCAAAAGCCAAAGCACACAATGAGAACACAATTCAGCTACAACATATCTCAGAGAGAGATTTTTAGATTATCCTGAGCCCATGCCAACTACAAGGTAAGCTTAGCCTGTCAGAACCCATTTCAGACTTTTCTGATCCAGCTAGCAACATTTTGTTTTACGTCATAGAAACAATACGTTTTTTAAATAACATGCACAACAAATTCTCAAAGTTCTCTTATATATAGCTTATCTTAATCTTATATTGCTGTAGACTTTGTTGCGAGTTGGTGTCCGCTTTATTGAAAGCTGTTTGCGCAAGGACATTCACTATGAAAGTGTACAAGGATATCTTCACTGGGGACGAGATGTTCACCGATACGTATAAGATGAATTTGGTCGACGATGTTATCTATGAAGTGTATGGCAAGTTGGTTGTCCGCAACCAGGACAACATTGTGCTGGCCGGTGCCAATCCATCGGCCGAGGAGGCTGACGAGGGCGCCGATGTGGGCGTCGAAAGTGGTGTTGATGTGATATTGAATCATCGACTGCAGGAATCGTTTGCTTTTGCCGACAAGAAGTCCTTCACGCTCTACCTCAAGGACTATATGAAAAAGGTGCTCGAGAATCTGCAGCAGAATGCTCCAGGCCAAGTCGATGTGCTGAAGACCAATATGAACAAAGCGATGAAGGACATCCTTGGGCGCTTCAAGGAACTGCAGTTCTTCACTGGCGAATCCATGGACATCGATGGCATGGTCGCCATGTGCGAATATCGCCAGCTGAACGGCGAAAGCGTTCCAGTTTTTATGTTTTTCAAGCACGGTCTCCAAGAGGAGAAGTTATAAGCACTCTGACCTCTATTTGACAGAAACTTTTTAAAAATCCCTATTCCGATATATGCAAAATTATAAAAATATTTACCAAAACGCTGCACAACAAACGCAACACAAACGGATGGATATGCAACACATAACAGAAACCAGAAACACATTTAACCCCAATAGATATGCTATAAAATTCAAATTGTCTCAATAACACAAATACGTATGTAATTCACATGGAAGTTATGCGAACTTATCGCAATTAATTAAATATAGAAGTTAATCTTGTTACAGAAGCCTTTTGAGATGCCCTAGAAAGTATGCTACCCTATTTTAACTGGCTTACAGCGAGAGAAACCTAAGATTCATAGTTTAATAACTGATCTTCCCTCATTTAGTATGTTCTAAATCGATGAAGGGATTTCGGCTTTCACAAACCCTCAATGAAGTCAATAACTGTTAATTTTCTGCTCACTCACAATGCGCATTCTCGGCTTAGTTAGGACGGCTGACTCACCTGTGTTTTCGGGGCCGTTCTGTCGCTTCTGGGTGGCGCGGCTCGTCCACACAATCTTATTGCCCACGGCTGTTGCAGAATCAGTTGTGGTGCTGGAGAGCACCGCTGTGGTGGCCACCGCTGTGTTGGTGCCGCTCACCTGACGCCAAACAATCGGCTGCTGCTGCTGCTGTACGAGTTGTTGCTGCTGCTGCTGCTGCTGTTGTTGCTGGTGCTGTTGCTGCTGCTGCTGCTGGTGGGCGTTGTTGTTGCGCGTGGTCACAATGAGTGGCGTGCTGCTCGTTGTCTGCTGTTGCAGTTGCTGCTGCTGCTGCTGTTGTTGGATACCCGAAATGCTGTGCACCGCCAACTGCTGCCCGCTGGCCGTGTTGATGATATTGACACTCGACGGCTGTGAGGCGGACGCCGAGCTGTCGTCGTTCTGCAGCTTAACGTTGGACAGCGTGATGACAGTGTTGGGTCCGATGGAGGCACTGCTGCCGCCGCCGCTCTTCTGTATGGCATAGGTCACCTTCTGGGCGCCCACCTGGCCGGCCGCTGTCATAATCTCGCCGCTACTCGTCGTGTATATCATATGGTTGCCACTGCGTGACGTCACAATGCTCTGCGAGGAGATCACAGCCGGTGAGCCGACAATATCACGCTGCATCTGCAGCAGAAACTGTTGTGGCTGCTGCTGTTGTTGCTGCACCTGCTGCACTTGCTGCACTTGTTGCTGCTGGGGTGTCGCCTGTCTCTGCTGCACTGTGACATTCCGTAGCTGCGCCTGCGCCAGCTGATGCTGCAGCTGTTGCTGCTGCGGTGTCAACGCCGGCAGCGGACTGCTGCCCGTATGCGGCGTTATGGTCACAATATCCCCAACGGCCGTGCCACTGCTCACAAACTCAGTCCTCGCGATCAGCTGCGTGGCAGCTGGTGCCGCGCTAGCGGCAAACTGATTTAGCAGCTGCTGTGTCACAGCCACCTGTGCAGGTTTCGACTGCTGAGGCAGTTGCTGTTGCTGCTGCTGTTGCGACTGCTGTTGCTGCTGCTGTTGCTGCTGCTGTTGCTGCTGCTGTTGCGGCTGCTGTTGCGTTGTGATTTGGGCGGGTATGTTAAGCAGATGGGTGGCTGCTGTGCTGGTGGCAATCAACGGCGCTGAAGTTGACGTGGGCACCAGTTGTGGTGCTGGTGCTGGTGCTGGCACTGGCACAGCCGGAGCTGTAGCTACTGGGACTGCATTGGCGGGCGAGGTTGTCGTTAAGGTAATTTCTGCTGTGTGTGGCAACGCGATCGGCGGTGTGGATATGGCTTCCATTGGTTCCACCTTGATCGGTAACGTTGTCTCTGGCGGTGCAGCGTCTGGCGATGCCTCCGGCGGCGGTTCCTGTTTAACGGGCGCTGCTTGGCAGAAGAAGGACGACTGCACTTCAGCCGTTTTAAAGCTGGAGCTACCGAGGGGAGCCGTTGGGCCTCGATTGTGTGCACGATGGCGTGCCGTGCGCTTCAGTTCAGAGGCGTTGGTGGTTTTGCAGTCGAGTAGGCTTTCAGCGTTGTCGACATCGTCGACTGCCGTCTCACCGTCAAGGATGTTCCAGAAGTTGGTAGCATTATTCTTGGGATCATCCATGCTGCACTCGTGCAATATATTGTTGACCAGATCATCACCCAACAAATTGATGTCGTTGAGCGAATCACCGCAGCTGAGATTGAACTCCAACGCAGAGCCGGAACCTGAACCCGATCCCAAGCCCGAACCAGAGTCGGAGCAGTCGCCATTTGTGTTATCGGGACTTCGATTGCTGCTGTCGCGTGCATAATCTAGCGCGTAGGCGGTCTGCAGCAGTTGAGCATCCGCGTCGAGATCCGTGTACTTGAAGGCGGTGCTCATGAAGTGGGCCTCGTTTGCGGCATCGAAGTCGTCACTGCCCTTGCCCAAGAGACTCAGCTCGATGCTAATGGGCGTATCCTGTGTCCAGTCCACGGCCGCAGCATCGCACAGCTTGCCATTGTCCTCGTCCTCGTGATTGCTGTCCGACAGCTCGTCCGTAGGCGTCTTTGGCCGAAAGTGCAGCCAGTCGCGCCTGATCTCCGACAGCAGTTCATTGCAGATGTCCAGGCGCTGGCTAGATGTCGGCGACAGTCCGCCCATATAGTCGTAGGCTTCGCTGTCGTCCTCTGTTGGCGCTGATGCAGTCGCATCCAGCTCCCCAGCATCAATGTGCAGTTGTTTATTGTGCAGACGAATGACATCGGGCATCTGGTTGAAGCATCGGCTCTGGCTCTCCAGCTGCTGTTGCTGCTCCTGCTTTTGCCTTTTCTGCTGTTGCTGTTGCTGCGCTTGCAGCTCTTTCTTGACCGCTGTGTGCCGTATAATGCTGCTGAGCTGTGCCAGATTTACATCATCTTCGGCCTCATCATCGTCCATGAAGTCCTCCTCCTTCTGCTGCTGCTGCTTGCTCTGCATAGACGCCGCTGTGCGTATGCTGCTCAGGGGCTCATTGGAGTCATCGGCATCGATCAGTTCGCGCTTTATCGTCCTGGCCACTTCCTCGACTTCGACCGCTGAATTTGCAGATCCAATTGCGTTTGTTGTTGTTGCTGCAGCTGCCGCTTCGGCAGCGCGTGCTGCAGCTGCTGCTGCCGAGGTAGAGGCCACCGGCTGCTCACTCAGAGTTGTCCCATCATCTCCGTCCGCATCCGCTTCCTCCACTTTTATCACATTGAATTTTTCGCTAATGCTAACATTCTTATTCATATTACTACTACTACTATTGTTGTTGTTGTTATTATTAAACACGGTGTTGTTGTTATTATTATTATTATTGGAACGGTGGTGCTGATGATTAGCGTGGCGTGACTGCTCTATCAGCTCATCGCATATTTCCTGCTTCAGCTCCAGCTCTGGCTGCTGCTGCTGCTGCTGCGGCTGCTTTTCCAAACTCATCGCATTTGCATCCGTTAACACTTCCGCCTGCATTTGGTTCACAGCTGCAGCTGCCGCAGCCGCCGCCGCCGTCGTCGTCGAATGCAGTGTCAGTGCCAAACGTTGCAAATACGATCTAGGCAGTGGAAGTAGACGCGGCGTATCCTCGTCCATAGCCACGCCGTCTTCGCTATCAATGACGGCGCTCTTCAGACGTTTCGCAGCATTCTGCTCCCGCAATTGCTGTTTCTTGCGGTGCATTCGGCGGCGTTTCATGCGCTTATCGAAGGGACTTTGCTGCAACGTCACCGCCGAGCTGTAGATGCTTAGACGCGAGACATTCTCATCCTCTGTGCACAGGTCATCCTCCTCTTCTTCATCATCTTCTTCCTCATCTTCCTGCCGCTCCTCCTTGGGCAGCACCTGTTCCCCGGGCGGCTCAACCTTAAGGACCGCCTCGGGAGTTGCGCTGCCATCCCCGGTAATCTTATCCGCCTTGCAAGTGGGCAGATCAACAACGGTTGGCGGGGAGCTGGGCTTGGACAGTTGCTGCTTAAGATCGTGCTTCAAAGGCTTGCCGCTCTTCACTACACTGTCCAATACCGTATAATCGAACTGAGACCACAGATCGTCGTAACAGCTACTGGCCCGGTCAAGCAGCACGCGACCACCGCGACCCAGACGCCTACGCGCAAAGCCTATGCACCGTGGCCTACGAAAATATTAACAATGTCATCAATAAAATAATTCAATATAGAATTAACAACGGGCATATCGCACCTATAATAGTTGATCGACGTTAGCGTGTAACGGTATTTAGCGTCAGGACCAACTGCCGCACCGGGCGGCGCTTCCTCATCGTACTCAGCCGGCGACTCCCAGGGCCAACGACCTTCGTCAACTCCACGCGTCTGTACAAATGGCAAAAGATATAGGAAACAAGGATTATTTAGTGATATCTGGCTGCATTTATCCATCGGCTTACAGCTTTAGATATACACTACAAATATATATTCCACATTCGCAGATTCCGGTTTTTGCAAAAGATATTAGATATCACATTTCCACGTTCCTAATAAGCATATTCAAAAAGGTGCTTATAGCACATATTTTGGCAAAGCCATTAAAAACTAACCCACCAAATTCAAATATAATAAATTCAATACAAACCAAGTCAATTCAACTAATTAATTTAATTAAGAACATTAATTGTCCAAAGAAGAAACTGATCATAATCAGGATTCGAACCCGAGTGTCGACGTATCAAATACTTCTGCTATCGCATCATTTCACGTCGCCGCAAGAATTGATGTCAGCGAAATACATGCAAAACTAAGCGAGCAGCTGACTGTTCAAATACAATGAAAGCACGCATGCTAGTCTATTAATAGAACTCCACAGAGTTGACAGCGTATTTGAATGTATGTGTGTGCGTGCAGTGCCAAGGGACCATACATTGTCTTTAATGACTTCTGTCCCAGTTAACGGATTTTAATAACATTTTCAAAGTTGATTCATCTCATTCCATTTAACATGCGTAAGTCTCTAAAATTGTCATCATTCATTAAATATTGACTGCATTTGCCAATGCCGGCATTTAAAATAGGAAATAATTCAAAATTTGTTGTTAACTATTATAAGATATGCTCAAAGAAACCACCCTTCTGTGTGTATACGTATGTATATATGGAAATTGAGCACTTGAAACTTGCAAGTTTTCAATTAGTTACATTTTCCAAATGCCAATGAATCAGCCACTAGTTGTATGTACACAGATACTCACTTGCTTAGTTTGCAAACTATCGTCTAATACATAGTATAGATCAGTTCCTTAGCAACCACTAGTATACACAAATACATACAAAAAGCAACGCAGGTATAAGTGAGTTCTTTTCCTCTTACAAGAGTAACCCACGAGCTTTGCTGGTTTTACACATTAAGAGAGACAGAAAGAGAGCGCAAAAGCAACTAGCTAAGCAAAGAGTGTGCGAAACCGAAAAGTTCAGCGTGTGCCGATAAAGTGAAGCGCACGAGCAAAATCCACACGAGCAGATACGAATAGAGTTTTTTTGCTCTCACAAGAGCTTTAATGGTTTTACACATTAAGAGAGTCAAAAAAAGAGCGCAGGAGCAACTAGTTAAGCAAAGCGTGTGCAAATCCGTAAAGTTACGAGTAATGAGAAACGCACGAGCAGATTAGTTATTCAATTTTATAGTTATTAAATTTTATAAATATGATGTTCAACAACAAACAGTTGATGCAACTCGTCAAGAGCATGCAACACATGCGTACTATTCACTATTAGATGAGAGTTTCATAGAACAGGCAAAAACCTGTAAGAACTTCAAAGGAAATGCCCGCCCCAATCTAAAGATCTTCTCGGAGGGAGCAGATATAGACTGACAGAAGATCGGCCACTCTTGCCAATTTGAGAGCTTAAATGCAGCGGAGAGATAAAGAATGGATCGTGTACTCATAATCACTCCATTTAGAGTAACGTTTAAGAGCGCTCAGCACCAGTCTTAAGTTCTTAGATATTCCACACACTGTTTTCAAATACACGGAGGCAGATTGATAATAAATATATTACCAATTAATAGACATATTATCAATATTAAATAGACTTGTTTTCTATCTATAAAATCTAATCGTGAATATTTGTCATACTCTGAACCGCTTGGAAACGGGTGTATTGGTTTTAAGCGAACCTAATTCTAATAGTAGTGACTTGTGCTTTGGAAATAGAAATTTCATTATCATGCTTTGAAAATATGAGTGACAAAGTCTAAGTAAAAGAAAAGTTATTTATCAATTAATTGTAAGTGTTAAGTGATTGTGTATAAAAGACGTATAGATTGATTGGGGTTCCTAGTCGAGTACTACCCAGTAAGCAATATTAATTGTTCTTTTCGTTCATTTCAATAGAACAGTTGAGTTCAAAATTACTTCTCGTATAGACTGTTTTGCGATAAGAATTTAGCTGCTTTGATGTAACTTATATTGCAGAAAAGGGAATTTAGTAAGGCTTTGCCGCATAGCCCAAATACAGTTCGATATAGACATGCAGTAGTTAAATATGCTTACCCGCAGGTAATTACACCTGGACCTGCGTCTAAATGCAAACGGAGCCTCCTCCTCGCTCTCGGAGCCCAGCTTGTTGCCATTCTGGGCGCCGACGGCAAGATAGTCGTCCTCATCGCTGTCCACAATTGACTCGTTGCCTGCCGGCGAAGAGCTCTGGCGATTAAGGCGATGCAGGTGCGCAGGTGAAATGCCCGACGCTGAAGACGCCAGGCTCAGGCCCGGCAAATACTGTTGTTGCTGCTGCTGCTGTTGTTGTTGCTGCTGCTGATGTTGCTGCTGCTGCAATTGCTTCTCACGCGGAAGTTTGTGCTTGCGTTTTTTATACGGCCGTTTCTCCTTTCGACTGCTGCTACCGTTGCCACTGCTAGCACTGATGCCATCTGAAAATTTGTTAACATATTAAAAACAAATTCGGCATGTTTAGCACATTATATATCTATATATATACCCATGGTCAGACTCGATGTGTTCAGGTACTGCGATGCCTGCCCATAGACGGCCGTGTTGTTGTTTGCTCCTGCTGCCAATATGCCTGGAGGCAGCACACCACCGCCGGCCAGCAGAGCCCCACTCGCTGTTGTGCCAGCCGCCGGTGCGCCTTGTGAGTATTGATTCGTATACAACGAATTGTATACGGGTCTGAAAGGAATCGTTCAACATTATTATATTAACATCTTTTACATGATTTAAATTAACCGAGGTGAATACGACTTGTAATGATCATAATCATGAAAAAAAGTAATACGTTTATTATAGCCCCATCGGAATGAAACTCACCTCGAGTTCTTATATTGGGCATTCAGCTCCGAGTAGACTGCACCGTTAAAGTCGCGCATTTCCACACGTTTCTCAAAGATATTAACTGTCATCTTGAGATGATCTCGCTTTGTTTCCTCGCGACGTCGCACCATTTCCAATATAGTTGTAGCGCGTTGCAAGTCGCGTCTGTAATACATTTAAAAAAGGAAAAATAGCTTAGCAATTGGTCTGAGAGGAAGAGTTGTCCAATTACCGCAGCTTAAGCATCTTCTCGTAGGAGGCTTCGTCGTTTTTGCGATTCTTTCGTGTTTGCATCTTTTCAGTGCGTCGTCGAAACGCCAGATAGGGATTATTAGAGCTTGCCCCAGGTCGGCTCTCCGTCTTGACGGTGAGTATCAGCGGATGTTGCTGTAATAGCAAAGGGAGACAAACAGTTAAAATTCGTAAGAGCAATTACAATGATCTTTAGCGTTAGCTTACCATTTTAAGGCGCTTGTACAGCCAGTAGTCGTACACTGATATGCTAGTCTCGTCGTCTTGATTAAGCAACGTTTTTGCCTCACTGAGTGTGACGACTGTTTGGCCAGAGCTCTTTTCCAGCCGATCCATCATTTGTTCGAACCTCAACTCAGTCAGCTGCAAGCGTTGCTGCTGGTTCAGCCAATCCTCATCCGCGCTATCCATGTCATAGTCTGGCACCTCTGTGTCCAGGCCCAAGGCTGCAAATTGCAATAGCCAATCTCAATTGATTAGCAAAGGAAAACATTGAAGATTCTACATTGTTCAGCACTTACGTTGCATGTGAATCATTTGGCGGGGCATTTTGTAGTCTGGCGGATAATAGGCATCATAGAACGGCTGATCCGTTTGCAACACCTCTGGCGTGGGTATAATAAGACCAGTGCAAATGGCCCGCTGCAGATGATGCTCCTGTAAATTGGTAAATATGCATTAGCAAAGTGATTCAATTGGCGCCATTTGTATGCTAATCTAAATATTCATCACCGACATTAATAACTCACCGACTCTTCCTCTTTTTCCATGCCACTTGGCATTTGTGGCACAGCGCGATTAATGGCCGAATACTCTGGCAAATCGGGCAACTCCTCCGCCAAGTAGATGGGCATCTGCTTGGACGGATCCAAGTGGCGTGCTCTAAATGATAGTTTCGACATTTTGTGGCTGTTTTTCCTTCGTCTTCGTCTTCTTCTCTTTTGGATGTTGTGTGTTGTATGGAACGTTGTTGTTTTGCTGCTGTTAAGTGTTTGTGGAATTGTTTGTTGTGGCTAATGTTGTCTGATTATATTGCTGATTGCTGTAGTAGGTGAGGGGTGATGGTGGCGGTGGCTCTTAAGTTGCTATCGGTGCTATGTAGTGGCAACTGCCAATGGCTAATCCCGCAACGACCACTGGCAACGGCTGCTTCAGATTCCTACAGCAGCGATTTGTTACTCCTTGTGTTTGTGTTGCTGCTTCTATACACGAGTCTTTCAACAGATTCGTTGTTCTAGTTTTTGCAGCAGCAGCTTCTGTGTCTGTTACTGTTGTTGTTGCTACTGTTGTTAGCCTCGCAAAAGAAGCGTCTATGGATGGAGGAGATATGCTGCTCTTAAGCTTATGTAACGACGTCAACGTTAACGCCGAGCGAGTCTTATTTGTTGTTGCTGTTGTTGGTGAACGCAGCACCGGCTGCTCTGCCTGCGCCTCCGACTGAGCACCGGGGCTGCGGTGGCAATGGCTGCTCTGCCAGCTAATATACGCAGCCCCTGTGCCCGTTTCCGTTTCCGTGCCCGTACCCACGTCCCGGCTCCGGTTGCTGCTGGCGGCTTTTTTGTTCGTACGCCGTTCGACCACGGCCACGGCAGTTGCTACTGCTGTGTACAAAGACGTGTCCAACGTAACTGTTGGATAACTTCTTGCTGATGTTGTTTGTGTTGTTTTTGTTACTGCTGGGCCGCTTCCTCCGCCGCTGCTGCTGCTGCTGTTGCTGCTTCTGCCGTCGTCGTCCGCTGCCTCTGCTGCCGTCTGCTGCTGTCGTTGCTCGTTGTATGCAAACAGCGCTGAGAGCAACAACAGGGCCAAAGAGATTAGTTTATTGCAATTACGACGACAACGCAGTGGTAGCAACAACAATAACGAGTGCAGCAATTGTGTCGACGACATTTTTCACGTTGAAATCGAAAAAATTATGTGAATTGGCATAATTACGTTGATCAAATTTGCACATTTCAGTTCATCTTTATTCTTAATAAATTTATTTGTTTGTTGTCTTCCTATTATTGACTTCCAGTGGCGTTTAGTTACTGTTCTTTTGTTGCTGTTCTTGGTATTTCTTTCAAATCTGCAAAGCAACAACAAACACAACTAATAAGTAAACAAACCACTCACACACAAGCGCATGCACGTACAAGCGCAAACAGTTGCACACACACACACACACACACATAGACATACAGTCAAACAAAACAGATAATGATAGACTCAAATATGAACGCGCGCGCGGGAAAATTATCTCGAGTTGTGTATTTCATTTGCAACTGCACAACACACACGCATTTATACTATACAACAGAACAACAAGAACTCCTACACAAAACATTCACACATCCACATGCACATATTATTATTTTGTTATTGTCTGACGCTATGGAGAATATGAGATCGTTAATTTGCTGGCGACAAAACTGATGAATCATTTTAATTCAGTTTTCAGTGTGTGAAATGAATAATAAAAAGAGTTGTAGTTGTGCTTAAAACACTCGAAAAAAATGCAAAATCATAGGGAACACGAGAAGATAGAAGCAGAAAAGCCGCACCGCCGATGCGAGCGTAAAAAAGGCGGCATAAACAAACACACACGCGGCGAGTTCGCCCAAACAAACGCGGCGAATTCTACGATGAAAAAACACGAAGCCTATCCGCAAAATACGACGAAAAAACGTAGCACTCTTCATGTGGGTTTTGTTTTTTGCAATTATTATCCAAATCATTTATATATTCCAGCAGCGGTATTTTTTATACTGCTTAAATTAATTTTTAACACACTTTACAACGCTTTTCACATGTCTGCACGCACAATTTTGTTGATAATTCGTTAAAAAATTTATACGAATTTCACGAATTTTGCGTATAGCGTGGTTTTGCTGGAAGCAGTAATGGCGGCCAGAGCCGAACGACGGCGAATGGCATTCCCAGGCCGCGAGTTATTTGCTTGTAACGTCGGCGCTATATAAAAGCGGCCATAACGCAACGATAACAAATATTTTTATGCAGCATTCAAATCAAGCAAGAAACGCATGCAGAAAAATATTCTTTTTCACTATATTAAAATTAATTGCTTATTTATTCGTCTGTGCTATAGCAAAACAATAGTTATCGGTTGGGCGAACAACGGCGTTGACGACTAATAACACGGCATAGAACTCTGCGACTCCGAAGCGTGTATCACTACCGCCCTCTGGCGAGCTGCACTCGAAAAAGAGGCAAAGACAGCGAAAAGATTTTTTTCACAAACAAGAAAATCGATTTACATTTTTCACGCACATTCTTTTGCACTTTTTTTGACCTTATCACGTTGAAATTGAGTGGAAATCATATGCTTTCACTGTATTTTTGTTTTCCGCAGCGAAACCAGCTATATTTTTGACAGTTTCGTCAACAAAAACGTTTGAAATTGTTTTTCTTCTGCGGACACGTTTTTACTTAATGGCGGGTGGCCATCACGAATTGATACTAAAGTATTTTCGGAGTTGAACGCTCGTCGTAATGCTGTGGAAATTATTTTTGGTAGCTTAAATTGTGTTCCATTTGACGAATTTGAACGGGGTTTTTTCTAAAAATTGTGGAATTTAATTCTAATTGAAATGCATACAATGGGAACATAAACAATCCGCTGCATTTGTCCAAAAAATTGTTATTAATTCTTTGTATCGCCAGCGGACTGCAAGTGCCAGCGGCTTAGTGATGTAATCAACATCATTTTAACGATACATCGATAAGAAGCAAAGATATCGATTGAAACATGACAGTCGTGTTCTCACAATATTTACTTAACGAAATATGATTCATCTACACCTGCGCTCAAAGATTTTAAACTTAATTTACCCGCGATATTAGAATTTTTTCAAAGTCATATAGCTAGATAATCTAAAGATAAAATATTATTTCAAATCATTATAACGATTAGTTTTTTTGTGAAGTTTATTTAATTCAATAATAATTTAGCAAAGCCCTTCTGATCGCATGATAACCAACCCTAAGTCGTAAGTAGACCGAATATAATGAACACATTAACTGATCGGAATAAATGCAATATAAAATGTTTTGCTTGATCTTTGAAAAAATTATAATATTATACAGCTACAAAAATATATGCACCAACACGGTAAATTGCTTCTCAAACAATTCTAACATAGGACGCGAGCTCTAACTCTCTTTCGTCTACATTTTCTGTGCTGTTATCCAAAATGAAGTATTTGAGTACGAAGTTAATAATTCTGCTTAAATGTTATTAACACTGCTGCCCTACAATTCAGATAAGAATAATTCGCTAAATACAGCATAACAGTATCATATGAGTATCATAAAGAGTTGAATTGTCCGTGTGACATAGCTGATATCTTTTGTCTTGGCTGGTACTAAGTGCAGTGGCTTCCAATGACTAATATAATATAAGGCAGCTTTTGTCAGCGACCAAACCGGTCCTTGAAGATCGTTGCAAATAGCTATTGACTCTTCTTGTTGACATTTCGAATGCTTTCAGGTTAATTTCTCGACTAAAGATCCAAGACTAAGGATCCAAATTTAATAAATATGACACAAAATTTGTTTTATGCTATGTTTTATTGATTTAAAAAAATGCAAAAAATACACATTTGATACGCTTTTGTTTGTAAATAATTTTATATTTATATATATATTTATATATGTGAAAAGCGGCTCTTCTTTACCTTCTTCTGTTCAAGGTCATTTGCTTTGGATGATTGCTTTATTGAAATGTATATCTTAGGTACATTAATTGAACGTCATAGATTATAAAGAACTGTGATATCGGATCGCTATGGTACTCATAAGGTAATCGTATAATAAATTTAACAGTTGCCTTGAGAAACTCTTACACAACTAGTTGATTTCGGCTAAAGTCTGGTTAATTATTATAGGCCTAAAGCTTTTTTGTTTTGGTGATTAATCATATGTATTACATTTATAATGTTCAACACTTATATAGAGCTTAAGAAAGAGTATCTCAAAATTTGCACAAGCTAAGGCTTAGGCAAAGGAAATCAAAAATAGAAATTAACAAAATCAAAGCGTATTTAGACTTAGATATTTGATTGCGTATAGCTAGAACAAATATAAAGCTTTAGCTTTTTGGTGTTCGAATAGCCTTATAAAAGCGATATGAAGCCTTAAAGCTTATCTTCGTTTCTTTTTTATGTTATGATCGGCCGCACTGACTCCCTTGTTGACGCTGTGGCTCTTGTTGTTGTTGCCCAATCGGTTGTTGTTGTAGCTGCTGCTGTGGCTGTTGCTGCTGATGTTGCTGTTGCTGCTGCTGCTGTTGTTGTTGCTGACAACGCCGCAAGGACGTTCACATATTATACATATAAGGGTGGCTGGCCCTGTGACAGCGTGCGCTGGGCAGCCAGGCAGGCAGGCGGGCGCGCGCACACTCGTACGCACGCAAACACACACAGGCACAGGGCCGAGCCGACGGTATGCAGTTGCGCGGCAATGTGCGCGCGCAGTTTGTTCACACGCACACATACATACATACAGGCATATGTACATTTGCATGTGTGGCGTTTGCTTGTGGAGCAACTGTCGCGCCATTGCGGCTACTGTCATGGTTGGCGATGGCGTACATGATGAAAAAATTTTAAGTCAGACAGTGGTGGCGTATGTGAAAAAGCACCATAGCGTATAACGGTAATGGTAACGGTAACTGTATCTGTAATGGTGTTTAGGTAATGAAAGCGCACCTCCAACGTGATTGAGAGAGAGAAAGAGGGAGAGCGAGACGGCGCGCGATCAGAGTACGGCAAAGGAGCTGCGCAAGAGAGCGATAAAAACAATTACGCACATCGCGGCGCCTGTGTAGCTGTTAGAGTGGGACGGAAAGCGACTTATGCCTATGAAATTGAGCAAAATGGGACGAACTGAGCGCAGGCCATTTGACCTAACAGTACATGCATGCACATATTTGTATACGCAGCTGAGTAACTACGTACAGCAATATGCATTGGGAATGCGTGCCGATATGTGTATGGCGTCTGGTGTGCAGCTTTTTGGGGAGGGTGAGTTGGGTGAGAGTTTTCACAACACTAAATACAATTTGGTATTTGTTATTTGGTATTCGTTGTATGCGCATGTATGTGTAAATGGATGCATGTGTGTGTGCACATAGATGTAGCGACGCTTTGTCCATGTCGAGAAACGAAAGAAATCATAGAAAAAATTATGATTCAACAAAGAAGGCGACGCACAAGGCTCGGGCTCAACTTGGGAATATAGGCGATTCTGAATGAACATAAATTGGGAAATAAAAAAAAATAGAAAAGTATATATATATATAAGGAAATGTTGGTTTTTGTTTTCGTTTTCGTTTTAGTTTTTCTCTTACAATATTCAACAACCAATACCAATATTCTTAAACTGTTATAAATGTTATATTGGTAATGTCTTTGATATTAATTTAGTGCTTTTTGTATTGTGAGGAATTTATGGATCAAAAACGGGACTAGTTTTGGGCCCTTCGATAAGGCTGCTTTAAAAAAAGAAATTTAATTTGAAACGCGCCTGGCATAGTAAAATTTTACAATATCTTTATGATTGTTGTTGCTTTTTTTGGCTAAGACTGAACTGTGTTTTGTGCTGTATTTTAGATCAGTTTGGATATGCACTTGAAACTTAGAGGAAGCGGATCGAACTTTCCTATATCAGAGGTCTGCAAAAAGAATTGAGTTACGTTACATACGCATCTATTGTGGCTTCCGAACAGAGTCCAAAACCCAATGCCAATCCCAGTATCGAGTGCATATCTCATAGGGAAAGTGTGTGTGGAGAGTTTTTCTTTTGCTTTGTCGTGTTGTTTGCTTCTAGTGAACTACTGAAGTATCTAAAAGAGTTCTATGTTTCGTGAAGTATAGATTAGTAAAAAGATTGTTAAAGAATAGAGAGTTAGAGTTGAGAAATATGTATGTATATAGAGATAAAGAGAGATAAATAGAGAGCGAGAAAGTGAGAGAGAGAGATAGAGTTTCAGAGAGATGTTTTAACTACAAAAAGTACTAAACTAAAATTATATTTTTTATTTGTTTTTTTTTTTATTTATTTTGCACTACAAATCTGTGTGTGTGTGGTTGGGTGTGTGTGTGTGATCGATCGTATTACTGTTATTGATGCAAATAAATTTGGTTCGTTAATTTGGTTAAGAACTTTGCAACGCATTAACTTTCAATCAAAATACTGGTTATAAGAGAATATTGTCCACATTCACAAACCGAAATTGGTTAAGATATATATATATATACAGATATATATATATATATATATATATATATATATATATATATATATTATGTATATACTTGTATGCATATTGTATGTGTATAGTCAAATAAACCAACATACCATGGAACATAAACGAAACAAACTTAACTGTACAAAAATCAAAAACGGAACAAAAACTAAACTTTTGCCACATCCGAATTTGCCAAGGGTTAAAGGTATATAGTACATATATATATATATATTGGTAGTATCCAAATCTCTGTTGCATTGAGAGTCGATCTTCAGCTTCGGCTTTAGCTCAACGGCCGATCGTTTCGAGAGTTGGGTGCAAAACAGAACTTCGTGGAACTTACCTTCCGGGTACGGGGGATGGGGGAGGATTTGTTTGTTTTTCGATTTGGCTAGGCTTTATATATATATGGTATATACTTTATAAAGAACATGCGCCACGCTTGGACGGAGATGAATTGTTAAAGCTTCAAAGCAAGACCTGAATAGTTAGTTAGTATAGCAAGTTAGTAAGTAACTAAAGGCGGCACTAAAGTATATATATATATTATATATATTACAAATGGTAGGTGCAGTTGAGAAAGTTGATATCTAGGTGATATATATAGATAGATAGATAGAAAGTATTTTATAGAATAAGTGAGAGAGAGTTAAAGTAAGGTACGAAATAAGTATATGTAGTAAAAATGTTTATTTCTGATTAAGCCAATTTTTTGTCTATTACATAAATGAAAATTGAAAATTCTTTTCTTACAAATTCAACTTGCCATAATTATAATTTTAGCTATAATTATGCTATAATTATGTATGTGTAAAAGAAGTGAAATCATAAGCTACAATATAACTAGAAATATATGTATACAAATGATTTGTTGGGCTTGCCTTTTAAAACTATCACTAGCATGAATAACAAATGAGAGCGTAACAGTCGGCCTGCCCGACCACACGGATACCCTGTACACAGAATTAACTCGGACTGGAGTCACGCATGACTCGAGAACTGATTTGCAGTTGAGCTTAGTTCCTGCTAGATCTCGATCTAGCTCGGGCTTCTGTGTATGGGGCAAGTTCTGGAGCTACTACTTACTGGCTAATTATCACTTGTTGAACAACAAAAACTTAAGACAATGAAATGGATTCGATTCTTTGTACAGAACTTAAGTTGATGTGTGTGTGTTGGGGGCTGTCTAGGTACTCCTGCAGCTAAGGTGTAGCGATATGACATAGCACATAGATCTTAGCTTAATGATTACGAAATTTAAGAAGCAGCGCTACGTTAGGCATTCATGAACTTCTCGACTTTGGAATATATAAACATGATGAGCAAATTTCATTTGAGTTAATGCGGCAATTGACAAGCATTCTTCAGACTTGACCATTGCACAATACTTTTTATCATTATCTTGATCGATTTCGCTTTTTGTTTCTTGTTTTTTCATTGTATATACATTCGCTTACGTATGTAGCCACGCCTCACATATGCCTAGTGAATCGTTAAGCTTACTTATGATACATAACATATGCAGTAGTAATAATATGATAGATGTGTTCTTTTTGTGTTGCTTCCTTTAGTCGTCTCTATAAATGTAAGTAACAAAATGTAAAGAAATGTAACTACAGATACGAGTACCTACTTAAGCGCTACATGCTTTAGCATTAACAACATGCATTTCAAATGGTTCAGATGCTGATTTCGAGCTCGAGTACCAAACATTCCAAGTACCAAAGTACCAAGTACCAAGCATAAAGTATTAGGATCTAAGCACTTAAGCACCAAGTACCAAGCTACCAAGTACCTAAGACTAGAGTACCAAAGTGTAACACACCAAGTACCAAAGTACCAAATATTGAGTATTAGGAACTAAGCACTTAAGCCACAAGTACCAAAATATTAAGTACTTTGTACCAAAGTACCATGTACCAACAAAAAACTTAGTGCCAAGTATTATGCATTAAGAGCAAAGAACTTAGGTACCAAGTACCAAAGTACCATTTATTAATTAGTATATACTAAGTGCAATACTTGGTACAAAGTATCTAGTAGCTTACTCTTGGTACCATGTACCAAAGTATTAAAGTACCAGAGTAGCCAGTACCAAAGTACATAGTACCTAGCATACAGTACCTAGTGCATAATACTTAGTACCTACTAAGAAATGTTTGGTACCCAGTACTTGGTACATAGTAGTTAGTACCTTGTACCTAGTACGTGATATCTAGCAAGCTAATACCTAGTGCTTGGTACCCGGTAGCAAGTACCTTATGCATAGTCTGTGGTACTTGGTCCCTAATACTTCGTACCTAGCAGCTGGTACAGGGGTACCCAAGTCACAATGTACCACACTTCCAAGTACCATTTGTTAAGGTATTACTAATCACGCATCTGGCAAGTGCAGCAAGCTTGCATTTTGATTCATTGGACTGTGGTAATCTATATATATAGATATAGATATACATATATAGCTATATATATATATATGTATATATTTATATATATAGATAAGTAAGAGAGTCGTATGCAGCACTTCTTTATATGGAAGTCTTATATGCAACGTCTTTTGTTTATGTTTTTTGTTGTTGTTTATGTTTATGTATGTGCAGTCAAACTTTGGATCTACTCGTAGCATTATCATAGATTATAGTATTAGTTAACTGTGCTTGCAGAACCAAAATCAACTTCATTTTACATTTTGTTTGAAATGCGAAACTTAAATAATCAGAACTCGGGCTACAAAACAATTTCAAGTTACGTGTAAATGTGTCTTCTGTGTGTGTGTGTGTGTGTGTGTGTTGGGCATGATATATGTCTCTAGTTAACTGTTATTGGTGTTTGTGTATTGTTCTTTTAAACGCTTCTGGGAAAACTAACTAACTGATCTGATCTGATCTAATCTGGTCGAACCGGATCGAATCGGATCTGATCTGATCTGATCTGGTTTGCTGATCTAGCTGTGCACAAACTGTTGGAGCAGTATTAGCCATGGCATTGTGATGATTAGTATGATTTGTTGATAACCGTTAGCGAATGAGTATAAACTTTTACTAGAATTGCACATATCTTCCTCACAAAAGCACATATGTCCATTGCCTGAACTTTCCATCATGCACACGTGATCGACCATGAATAAATTGATTTGTAATTGTGACGTACACATGCGTCGCACCACCTCGTAGGCTGCAAGAACAAGGACAAGCATAAAATCACATATCGGGACGTGTGTGACTCGTGACTCGTGACACGTGACTCGTGGCTCGTGACCCATGACGCGTTACTTACGTGATCGCTGATGTCGCACCATCTTCACACAGCAGCCATTGCAGGTCATCAAAGGCGGCTGGTCGCGCGGCAACGCCGTATAGTTGAACGGATCCTTGCAACGTGCATCCGTCCACGAATCGCACTCGTAACAGTAAATCGAACGCGCTGCAGTATAAAGCACAACATATATTAACGAACAGCATTAATCACGCCTGAAAACAGAATTCGGCTGCTCATCTGGAATACAGCAAGCGTATCACTATATATATACATATATCAACTCTAACTATGTCATTCCTACAAAATTGCATGCAATTAGAGTGTTAAATTGGAACAAGTATGCGACAACGTGAAACAGAAAAAAGTGAATTTGTTGGCAAAATTTATAGCAACTTTTATAGCAAATTTTATAGCGATGTTTAAAGCAACTTTTATAACAATGTTTATAGCAACTTTTATAGCAATGTTTATAGCAACTTTTATAGCAACTTTTATAACAAAGTTTATAGCGACTAGTATGTCATTTTTTATAGCAACTTTTACATCAACTTTTATAGCAACTTTTATAGCAACTTTTATAACAAATTTTTCAGCATCCTTATTACAATTATAGATAATTTTATAGCAGATTTTGTATAGCATTATTGTAGCATTGCGTTAGGTGCATTAACGAAAACCTTTTCAGTGTGTTTTGCCTTGGCTATAAGCGTAAATAATGTTCTAAATATATACAAGATGTTCGACTAACAAATACTCTGCCTTCTTTAATTTGTGTACATAAAGTTTTTTCAAGTATTTGCCTATATTGATACTCGTTCAAGGAGTAAGAAGAGTATATTAGCTTTGGGTCAATTTATGTTTATCTTTGTGTAAATGTTGCATGTCATGTCTCAAAAAGTGTAAAAAGAATTGGAAAATTACTTAAATAAATTGGATTTTACTTTATCATGCTTGGTATAAAAATAATAATTTTATTGACGAACATCAAATCTGAAATATATCCTTGTGTATAGAGCTTCCCTTTAGAAATTCTTGAAGACCAATTCTTCTTCTTCAACAATTTTGCTCGACAGGAGCTGCTGAGCTTAATAGTTAAGTCACTCTTTATATTTATTTAAAATAATATATACAGCACTATTGGAGGGCGTGGTAAATATATATAAGAAATATTTTAAATTTATATTTATACATTTTGTTTAATGATTTGGGGTAGGTTATTCGCTTTGTCTTGGATCTTGAATTGTGAAAGTTTTCTAAGATTACATAGAAACTGCATCTAAGAATAATTTTCAAAATTAAGACCAAAGGCTAGGGAGTCATAATTACATCAGCTTTAGCTGTCAAGAAATCTTCAGATAAGGTCTTCAAATTAGACTTAAGGTTAAAATTTGAGCAAAGGCCTTCAACTTAGATATATTGAGGTATATTTCAGCTATACTTGTGTCATCTTTTCAGACTAGCCTTTAATGCTATAAATATTTATGTATATATATCTGCTCTTTTATGGATCTTCTATTATGTAACTTAAGTTCAAAGTTTCAACATTAAATATTTTATAGACACTAATTTTCCGACTACATCTGATTGTTTAACTAATACAGATTATCTACAAGCTGCTATTTGATAAGCCAGAAAAAATTGTTTTTTATTTCAATATATTTTTCAATAACTAAATATTAATCATTCATATGAAATGTGAAGAGATAAAAGCAGAAAGAAGTGTTCATTGCACATTCAGTGATAAGGAAATGTGAATTTGGTAGTTTAACTGGTTAACACATGTTGCAGTTGCTTTGACTAACTAAGTTTAGAGTGCAAGGGCATGCAGTTCAGAAATGTCAAAGGTCAAGGGTCATATCGAAATATGTGTTAAAGAAGAATTTCCGCTTGATTATGTTTTTTCTTCTTCTCTTTTTTCGCTAGGCACACACACGCACAACAAAATAAAGGCATACACACACACATACATATAGAGATAAATGTTGCAAAAGTCGAAAAGAAAATGAAAATGAGAAAAGTTGAAAAAGTTCTCAAGATAAGTAATGGAATTTACGGGTCAAGTTAAAGCTTGGAATATGCGAAGTTTAGATAGAAATAAAATTTGGATAAAAACGTTTTTATATTGGCAAAAGTTGGTATAAATAAAATGCGAAGGCTTTGAGAGGGGCTGGGCTGAGAGTAAAATTAGATAAATAGGCACATAGTAGGTGTATCAAAACATTTATAGACAATTAGTTGCGTATTCACAGAGCCTTTCTGAACAAAATGCCGATAAAGAAAAGTTCTGAATTCTCTATTTCACTTGAGTTAATCAAATTTTCAAATTGTTACAAATAGAATCATTTTTGTCTTTTACATTGTTTTTTTTTGTTTTGCAAAAAGATTATTATATAGTATATTTAAGCATTTGTATATAGGCAGAGGATTAATGGATTCATACTTTGACATTCGGCTGAGGCTGATGGAATCCATACAAAAGTCAGAAATCCAAATATGGCTGCAAATAAACAATAAGAGGAAGAGCAAAGTAGAAGAGAGGAAGATGAAAATGAACTGTTCACAGTTGCTGTGTGGAAAGGTGTGAAAAATACAAAAATACATTTACAAAGGACACTTCTGGCACAGGACACACTCAATGGAATGGTTTAGTTCGGTGGACATCGAAATGTGTTATAAGGAGTGTTATATACAGTGTTAAATAAGGTATGTACGATGTGTTATACACTGTGCTAGCCACTGTGTTATACACTTTGTTACAAACTGTTATACACTGTTATACACACTGTTATACACTGTGTTATACACTGTTATACACTGTGTTATAAACTGTTATACACTGTGTTATAAGCTGTTATACACTGTGTTATACACTGTATACCACTCCATACCGTGCGACACCATCTGTTGTATACTTGATATATACAGCTGTCTTGTATTATACTAAGTGTTATACTCTGTTTACCATTCCATTAAATGGCCTGTGCATACATTAGGACTTAGACGTGGGATATACAAACTCTGGGGATGGATGCGCGCCACACACACAAATGAAACGAAAAAACAGTTAGGAAAACCTGACCTACGGTTAAAGTGTGGAGTACAATTATTAGCGAGTGTGGAGAGTAGAGTGTGTAGAGAGCAGCTGTCGAGGATGGGAGTAATTACACAGTTTGCGAAACAGTTAGGCTTATAAGTATCTATACATATTGTTAGGTTTTGTAAATGCATTTGTACAGTGTTTCATTACGATGTGTATCCTTTAGTTATGCAAGACATGATACGAGCACACGACACTTTGTTGCTGGCCATCATCTGTGTGTGTGTGTTTGATCAGAGTGTATGTATATATACGATTGTTAATACGATTAATCGACAGGAACAGCAAAACTTAACTGAATGCAACCGAACTCAATCAACTGCTGTGGCATTTACTTAACTTATTTACGAATATTTTACAGGGACAGGGGAGTTAACTCAGCTGCTTTAAGACAAACTTGCAGTAGAATCATATATCATCTAAATAGGCATTTGAAAGATTTGTAGAGGAAAGTTTTTAAGCTTAAGTTTAATTACTCTAAAATAAAATATCAAAAATTAATGTTAATTTTGTAATATTTGTATATATTTTCAATTATTTGAAAAATCTATTTCATTTCAATTTTTTTTTATATATTTTTGCTGCAAAAATGCTTTAAGCTTGAGCTGAAGTTTTTTGGTTTTGTTTTTTTTTTTTGTTTTTAGTACAAATACATAACTAAATAATATACACAGAGTTTTAGTTTAGTAATGGAACGCAAAAAGTAAAACAGGATTTGGAAAACCATATGCAAAACAGAAATCGTTTAAGAAATTTTGAAACCGAAAACTAAAACTTACTTGGAAAACAATTATCAGCTGTACCGAATTTTGCCAATGCCAAAAAAACTTTTTGTGTGAAAAATGAAATTGTTGATAAATTAATTTGGATCGAAATTAATACAGTTTAATACAATTACTAGCTAATTGACAGAGAGAAGACAAGCTGTTATATTATGTTAATCTGTTATACTCTTATACGCTTCAAACCGCACACGACTCGTCTTGTTTGCTCTTCTCTTAGCATGTCAAATCGCACATCGCTCATACGACACGTTGGCCGACGCTTGCAAATGCTTCTGTCTGTGTGTGTATGTGTGTGTGTGTGTTTGTGTTTGGTTGTGGCACATATTTAGTTTGTCTATTTATACACTTCACACATTCTATATTGGTTCACGATTATAGTCAGATATAACAACAAGATTCTGCTTCCATTCTGCGCTCGTAAATAATTTTTGTGTGGTCTTTGAAGTGCCTCGCGTTTGGCTTCGACTTTTGGCTAATAAAAAAAGTATTGGCTCATAAAGCAGCTGCTCTTGTTCGCTGGCCTTAATTGGGTATTAGTACTTAATCGTAATCTCATATAGACGAATGCATTGTTGCTATCTTTACCTGCCAAGGCCAGCAGCCAGTGTCTGGCTGCGCTTTCTTTAGTCCACATCCTGGTTTGATAGGTTCCTTCTGTAGTTCTGTAATGTATGATATATATCTATAATCAAATATTCTATAAGAATTGAGTCGTTTACCTGTTTAACTCGATTCGATATGATTGCAATTCTGTTTGGTAGCTCCTTTCGACATAGAAGCGCTAAGACTTACAGCTACCCAGCTGCATAACTTCCTAGCTCTTACGATATATCGTAACTAAAATTAAGAAGATATATATAGAATTATATATATGATATATAAGCAATTAAATTCGTATAAACAAATAATAAAGTACAACTAATAAAGTACAATAATATAGTAAAACAGTTAAATTTATTCAAAAATCAATAATTTCAAATGGAAGCTTCAAATCGTTGCTGATCCACATGCACTTTCGGATTGAGGCTTCGAAACTGGACAAGATATGCCTTAAGCGTGTATACATATTATTTAGGTCACTTCCAACTTCTCAGGCGGCCCATCTTAACACACGATGAGTACTCCAAGTCAATTCATATAATATATACGATATACCAAATACGATATATCATTTGAGTAATTAGAATGTTTTAATTTTTGCTTGACTATATATTATATGCGATATACGATATACCATATACGATATACGCTACATATATGAGATACGATATACGAGATACGATATACGAGATACGAAATACGAGATACGATATACGAGATACGATATATGAGAGATGATATACGAGACGCGACATATGATATACGAGGTACGATATAAGCTATACGATATTCGATATACGCGATACGATATATATGTAGTTGTTAAAAAGTAATCTACAAACTTCATTCACTTCTTATTGCGACCAAAACCCCGAATATGCCTAATATCGTAAATAGAATAAAATGTTCTAGCTGTTGCCAGCCCTGGTTTTCGTCAAATATAGTTGCATGGTTTTGTAAACTTGTTCAAAGTTCACGAATTGGAAATATACATATGTTTTGTTTCTAAATATTTTTCCACTGAAGCAATAAATCGTGTTTGACAGGCTGACAAAACACATTATGCTCACATAAAACGAGAATATATAAAAATATCTTTGGTAAGAGAAAAGTTCAATAATAAACATAAATCATTCTATATAAACAAAATAAACCTGAATTAAAGTGAAAGTATAGGCATAGCAAATTATAAACAAATTAATGAAGACATCTAAAGGAACTAGATTTCTACAGCAACAAGTTTCTTATGGACACTTTAATGAGCCATAAATAATGAAGTATTCAACGATCCCGAAATTATGATGATAATCATTAACGAAATTTCCGCTTCATTGGCCTCCAACATATGCGTACGTCATCTGCACACACACACATATAAATATATTTCGACAGATTTATCTATATTTATATAGAATAATATCCACACATATGGAGAGTAAACTATTTATAGCAACGCATAACCTCTAATAAGTGTTCTAGGTCAATGTGCGAGACCGAATGACATGGCGGCTACTGATGTCAATAGAGTGTGTGGCAAGGCAAACCAATGTGAGCGTGTGTGTGCATTGAACCCATTGAGCCCCAGCTATGGGTGAATATACGTGTGAATTTGTCTATGTGTGTATGCATGTGTGGTGCCAAGCTGTATGTATGTATATATATATGTGTATGCTTACTTAAGGATTAGAGAATCATCATTCATATGCGCCACTAAACATACATATATATATATATATATGTATATGCATCCATGTAAGCATATATATTTGTATGTGTTGCACCAATCAGTGAACTCAGCATACACATAAAGTGCTCGTAAGGTAGAGCATTATCATAAGCATTATCGTAAATATAAGGTCAAGCGCATACTTTGAGAACATGTTATTCTAATTAAAGCCTTCTAAATAAGTCCTGCCTGTTTCTGTTAAATTTAATTACTTTCATTAAAGTTTTTAAGTCTTCCTTTTAAAAATAAAAAATAAAACACTTACAAAATTAGCAATATTTAAAAAAATATTATAAAAGTAAGCATTATTTAATTTCTTAGAGACTGCGCGGCATATTTTGTCAATTGTCCGAATTAGGCAGGCTACACTGTACTATAAATATGCAATCAAACAGTGTTAGTTAGCGAGCATACAAACGCTAAAATGTGCATTTATATTGATGACAAGAGGAATTCACATAATTTACTCTGAACAGAAATAAACCGCCAAAAAATAAAGAAAACCGAACTGTAAAAGTTGTGTATGTGTGTGTCTGTTGTTGTTTATTGACAGATTTTGGGTTAAGGCTTATTTTTATTTTAATCACTGACAAACACTTTGCACACTTTTGTTTTTTTTATTACTTATTGGCCTGTCCTCATGAAGAGCGCTTGATTTATGGCAACAAGTGAATGTGTATAGTGAATGTGTGTAGTCAGTCACTTAAGTGCCAGCTATCACATGAGTAAATGGCGCTCAGATTAGGCTCTAGTGTGTGTTTAGCAAAATGATTTAATTATTTGTTGCAGTTAAATAGCTGTAATTGGGCTTTACAATTGCCGGTTATTAGGAAGGGCTCGCGCCACGGGCGCATTCACAGCTGAGCAGCAGACGACAAAGAGAGAGAGGGAGAGAGAGCGCGAGCCAATGTAAACAACACTCACACGACTGCAACTCGCACTCACGCACACACGCTCTCACGTACGCTTGCTCTTGCACATTGTCTGCTCTCTTAAGGCGTGCGCTCCCTCTCTCCCTCTAACTGCTGCCGAGATGGGCTGCGTGTTTCCTTTTTCGCACGCACTTTAACAATTTGCGTTTGCAGTTTGACTTTAGATTTTTTTCTCATTTAACTTTAACTTCTTAGGCGAAATGGAACATTTATTACCTTTAGCACTTGCACGTGATTGTATTGATTGGCAAGGTATTATTTAGCGACCGGAGCACTATCCTGCGAGCTAGCTCAAGTATCGCGCAGGTGTTTCATAATACACATGCAAGTAGAAATCGATTTAGCTGCCCAAAAGTGGGCCAAGCGAAACCTAATGCAATTTATTCTCGTAATGCTCGTTTATTTTGACCGTTTTCTTTAGCTTTTTGGCCCGTGTTGCGGTTGACATGCCCACAATTGCAAGGCTGTTGGCTTTAACAGCTTGAATTCATATTGATTGTCCCTCTTTTTCGTATTTGTTTTTTAGTGGAAAACAATTTTCAATCGACAGAAAATCTTTTGCTTGAATTAACACTTAATGCAACTAGAAATCACTTCATTCGTAATCTTCACTAAATTCCAAGAGGTACATTTTGTTATTTAGTATTCTATTTTATTTATTTTCTCATTTATTTATTTACAAGCGATAATTTGTGTCTTTTACGCTTTCAGCCAACACGCAACGACATCAACTGAGTCTATGCGCTTCATTTTTCAATTTTCCTTCTGTGCTTTCTCTCTCGGCTTTGGCGCATGGCATTTTGTTGCTATTTTCAAACACTGCCTGCTGTATGCGGTCTGTGTGTGTGTGTGTACATGTGCTTGCTGCTACTGTTGAGCTTCTGGCGCCAAGATGTGTAAGTGTTGGCAAATGCTTTAAAAGCTTTAGATGTGCGCTTTTTTCAAACGCATAGTCAATTGCACAGCATAAGCACTAAAACTGAATATCGTAAGTTTTACGGTATTGAATATATTTGTAGTGAATGACATATATTTAAATATATGATCTTTTTAAGAGTAACGATTTGCGACTAGGACTTAAAACTTTGTAGCTGAAATGGGCGTTTTAATATATAAAGTATGTGAACACATAGAGTCATATTGACGGATTGTGGACGGATTATTGCAGCTTTGTGCTATATGTAGAGTATATGTGTTCCTTACTCATATTATCCATGTCTACGAATTATAAGGATTATATATACTTTATTAATGGCAATTTATTTGAGAGAATTTAACAATGTTTCAATATGCATTCGACTTATTCTTCTGCCATTGGCCTGATCATCATTTGCACAAATTTCAGTGAGTAAATGTCCCAATCAGTCCAAGCAATTCCGCCGAAATTATTCGCCTGTTTGTATTCTCCATTTAAATTACTATAATTAATACAAAAGAACAGGTAAATTTATTAATCGATGATTTTTAAAATATATCAATGTATAATTTATGGAGTTACACAGCGGATATTTGTGTTATATATATTCATAAAATGTTTACCAAATTTTGTAATCGAAGCTTTACTGATCAGTTGCACTACTATTTTTATGAACACATCAGCAAATGTAGAGATATAAATATATAGTAAATGAGTGTCCAAATATTGGGCATTTAAGACTTAAAACTAGGATAGATGCTCTTTATTCAATGCCCACTTAATCGAATTACCTGCTATAGCAATTGTTAAACCACCAACCAGACTTAAAAGTTTTTGCACAATTTATGGAGCTCTTGTCGTGATCTGCGTCATATGCTGAGAATTGCATATTGAGTTGGACACTCATAGCGTCACTGGCGTTTCCCGAATAGTTTCCCAATGATTTCAGTGCGAAGTTTTCATTCTGGTCGCCAATGCGGAAATTACTATAGCGTGCATAGCTCACTTCGTTGTTGAAGTTCTTCAGGTAAATATACAACTCGTGCTGCCAGGATTTCGTCAGGAGGTAGAGCCGATCGAGGCCTAGGAAAAATTCGTTGGCAAGATTGCCGAAGCCCGCACGATATTCCTTCATGGATCGATTGAAGTTCTCAGATCCATCTTGACGACGCTGAATAACTATCCAACCGGCGCCGGCTAGACTCGAATCACAGGGCACGAAAATTCGATTCGAGCTGGGAACACTTAGTTTGTGTATTTTCCTCGATTTCCCTATGCAGTCTGAGAGCAAAGAAATTTCGTTCGTTGCCTTTTCTTGTTTGGCTAAACTTTGTTCCAGTTGTTTGATTTTCGCCGCATTTGCAATTTCTAGACTTTTGAGCTTCGATATTTCAGAGTCTTTCTGCGTTAGCTCATCGTTGTTATTCTTGGTAATTACAGCAGCTTGAATTTGATCGACCAGCGCCCGGTTTGAGGCCAACAATTGCTCGCCGGTTAAGCAATATTTTCTTTGCGCATTACTGGAATCGAGCTGAGTCTCTAGAGTTTTGATAGTTGCTTCGAGAAGTTGAATCTTATTGCTTAGTTCGTTGAACTTCATTTCCTTCGATCGAATGGAGCCAGCATATTCCAGCAGTGGCTTCACAATGCTGTAGCAATGCCCACCGCACAGCTCATTCATCTTCCTTGAGTCAGAGCAGCGCTAAGAGCATATCAATTGTACTCGCAATTGGGATTGAACGATCTATCATGGGCTATACTTACGGAGCTCCTTACCAACTCAGCCATTATGCCTGGCAGAGTTAGCAGTAACATTAGTAATAGCTTACGAAATATACACATTTGTTATACTATAGATAGTTGGAGACACTGAAACCTGTAGACTTTGCTTTACTCAGATCATTTTTCAACTGATGTCTGACAAAGCTACATTTCTCAAAATTTGCTATAATCTCAAATTTTTAGGAAATTCCTACGTCACGGATCAGAGTTGAGCGCAAAATATTCTGTATTCTTATCAACAATATTATATATATTACCCTACTGTATACTAATACTATGTATTACTATACTATACAAGTATATACTATATATTACTATACCAAGGTATTATCAGCAATTGGATTTGTCTTGCTTGTTCTATATTGCTTTCGAGCAAACGAATTGCATATTCATTAAAACTGCCTATTTGAGGTTAATGTTGGCACTGACTGAGGGCACAACTTTGGGTTAAGAAGCGGCAAGTTTACCTGATAATTATAATTGGCGTATTTATTGCCAGAAACTGTATACAAAATTCGATGTCCGGTTTTGATGATGTTCAAGTTTTGCTTCAAAAACCAAGAATAATTATTTATTTAGGTAGATAGTTAATAAAGAAAATAAGTTATCAAAAACAAATAAGAGTGCTCATGTCGGGAGTACCCGACTAGCCGATGCTCTAAGCAGTGCGCAGAGTTCTGCGCTTCTTTTCTACTGACAGAGCAAACACACATGTACACACATACATACAAATAAGCACGAGCTCTGCTTACTGCGCAGCTTACGCAGCAGCAGCGCCTGGTTTCAGCTTAAGCTGCGTGTGGGCTGCGCCTGGGCTGCGATTCTGCTGCGCTTGGACTGCGCTTGGACTGCGCTTGAACTGCGCTTGGACTGAGCTTGAGTTACGCTTGAGCTGTGCTTGAGCTGCGCTTGGGCTGATCTTAGACTGCGCTTTGGCTGCGCCTTGGCTGAGCTACGGCTGAGCTTTGGTTGAACTTGGGCTGTACTTGTGCTGTGCTTGGGCACCGCTTTAAAGCTTTACTATGTACACTTAATTGATAGATAACCCTTGTGCTAGTTGGACTTTCATAATTAACTTTTCAGAGTGAAATATTAATATCCTGATGTATGTATTTATCAGCCGATTTGAAATACGATTTTTGCAAATTTTTAATGTCAAGAGGGAGGTATTGAAAATCTTAAGTTTTTCATTCATCACAAATATCTTGATTTTTGCTTCTATTAAAGCTACACTTAAAGCAGAAAATCAAATTAACGATTATTATCGATAATAAGGAAAAAGAACGAGGTATACCTATATATATACCAGATATGTATTTAAAATTTAATCTTCGAGATCTCAAGCAGACGGATAGACGAGCGGACTGAGCAACTCGAAACTTGGCCAAATGAACACAGCTCGTCTTCCAGTTACATATAAACGTAGAAACAGCTTGGGACTGCGCTAACTAAAAATGATTAATATAGATATAGATCTGCGATCTGCGCCTAACCTAGCAAAAGTTTAATTAAAAGTTCATATAAAATATATTTCCGTAATAATTTTCTTTATTGTGAACTCATATCTATATAGAAGAAGTTTGCTTTGATTTGGGTTTGGTTAAGCACAGCTTATATTAAATATTAGGTTTTAAAATGATGTTGCATAAATAATATAACATAAATACTCATACATTTATAAATTAACACGTATACGAAAATATTATTCAAGATTATAACGAAACGGAATCAAGACGAAAGCAATTCAATCAAATTCCTTTTCCATTCTTATTGAGCATTGCGGCTAGTGACTCGACAGGATGCGAGTTGCCTGCCAACAGGATGTATGCATATGTCCAGGATATTCATAGAACTAGGCATAGTCGCGTGATCCTTCCAGTTTGCGCAGCTGCAAAGAGGGGAAATGGTTCAAGCTCAGTATTATGTGAGGCGATCAGGCTACTTATTTACAATCTGAGTGTGTGTAGGTATGTGTAAAGGTGTGTGAGTGTGTGTGTGTGTATCAATAGAAACTCTTGTCATGCCAAGCCGCAAAAGCTCTCACCTCACGTTCATCGGCATGCGTGCGATATTTCTCAGCGCTTTCGCTGCTCTTGGGCGTGGCCTTCGCCTCCAGTATCTGTGTGTAGAGCAGAGCAGCTGCGATGCCGCCCAGTATGGGCCCGGCCCAGTAGATCCAGTGGGCGCTCCAATTGCCAGTGGCTACGGCAGTGCCTACAGTACGTGCCGGATTCATGCTGGCGCCCGTGTAATGAATGGTGCCCAAATGGCCCAGGGTCACCGCCATGCCAATGGCCAAGGGAGCTGTGTATCGGGAGTCGGGCTTGTTGGCATCGCAGGCACCAAAGACGGTCAGCACCAGCACGAGGCCCAGGAAGAACTCAATGCCCAGGCCCTGCAGCTCCGTCTGATTTTGTGCCAGAGTCGTGTGACCCAGCCCGTTGTGATAGTGTGAATCGAGTAGGATCTGCAGTGGGAGAGAAATTTAATAAATATAAACGAAAGAAATAATAGCATCAATATTATATTTTAACTTTTTAACAATAAGTTTTATATATACTCTTATTATTTGTTTTTTTTTTTAAATTCCTCTATTCATAAAATTTAGTAAAAAAATATATTTGTTTTTTTTTAATTTTATTTTTTTTTAATTTTTAACAGAAAAGTAAAAAAATGTAACGAAAAAAATAATAGCACTATTATGATATTATATTATAAGTGTTTCCCTTTATTATTATTGTTCATATTTATCATGTTTAGTATTGCTTCACTTATAAAAAGTATTAAAATAATTTATGTTTTTCGATATTCACAGGAAATGTCCAAATTGCATCACAAAAAATAATAGCACCATTATGCCACTTGCCTTACTTTTAAACACTATTATTATTTATATTGTTTAGTATATGATTATGCATAGAAAGTGGTTTAATTGTATAATTTTTAAAAATTATAAACAGAAAAGTGCTGGTATATAAGGAAAAATATAATAGCACCACTATTACCATTGATATTCCTATTTTATATAATTTTAGTACTGTTTATATAGTTAAAAAAAATTTTTAAATTTTTTTTATTTTATTATTAAGTATTTTATTTCAAATTTAAATAATATGTGTGGAGTAAATTATATACATAAATAAATATAAATTAAATTTTTTGTACAGAAAACTTAAAAAAATGAGTTAAAAAATTATAGCAACAGCTATGCTAAGCTTAGAGATATTTGTATATCTTTCACATATATGTTACATTATAGAATTCATATATATATATTTCTATATACAGCTGTTTATATTAAAAACTCACCTTAACAGCCGCCGTGCCTAAAATGGCGCCCAGGCACTGAAAGAGAATATAGAAGATAGCGCGTATTACGCTAATCCGACCTGCTACCAACATAGCCACGGTAACAGCTGGATTAACATGACCACCGCTCAAGTGGCCCACGATCTGGGGAAATGATTGTTAGTTAACCGTAAGTGCTTATCATTCAATCATCACTATGCTTACCGTAATGGCCATGAAGACACCCAGGCCAAAGGCCAGCGCCTTGAATAAGCCATTCTCGGGCTGTGTGCAGGCGCCGCAGGCAAAGAAGTTCAAGATCAAATTGCCAATTAATTCGCCCATGAGCGCCTGCCAGAGGCGCAAATCCTTCGACTTGAACTCATTGAGACCCAGCGAATACTCGAACTTTCCCATCTTCTCCAGGTGGCGATCAACTAGACAATGACGCACAAGACACAAGAGTCTATTAATAATGAATGCGCTCTGCTTGCAACCGAACAATTGTCAAACATAAGTGGGCGATGACCGCATTTGAATGCAGCGCTTAATACGGGCCACAGACCAATCAGACCCGATGCGAATATGAATGAGTAATGTGTACGGCAGCCATATCCGTTAGATGACAGCGTTGACATGCTACCTAATTGGTTTTCCGACACCTCCACAACTACGCTCGCAGCCATAGACACTGCCAATTAAATTGGCTGCCAGAGAAGCATTTCCATTTACTCACAGACTGACTGGGGGAAAGACCCATGTAAAAGTCATTGATAGTTCTGATTAAAGTTAAATGTCTTGCTAAGCTAGCTAAGCATACTATAGTAATATCTAATATTTGGTAAAGTACCTAATAACTGGTTGTATTCCACGTCATGGTACTGCATAATATACACTGTACTATGCTAAGCGACTATTTACTATGTAACAAGGTACTTTATGAAGTGCCATATACTGTGATAGATAATATGTTGTACTAGGTACCATGGTGTTAGAGAATGTACCATTGTACCATTGATACTTTATTGTGTACTATAGCAGTAGACATTTAACTGTATGAAAGGTACTAGACAGTGTACCATTGATGAATATGGATATGTACCATATGTACCAAACCATTTTATGTACCATAGAAGTATGTATCATGTAGACAATGCGCTTTTAACCATAGCCCATTTAACATATGACGTGTTAAGAGATAATAGTAGATACTTAACTGTGTACCATTTTATATTATAGTTTAATAGTTTATGTACCATATTTACTAAACAAGGTACCAATGTACCATGTGTACTGAATAGCGTAATGTGCCACATATTATCGTTTAAGATGGTATACAATGAACTATGTTGCACGACAATGTACTAATTCACTTCACAGAACAATGTACCAATGTACCAATGTACATACCAAGGTACTAGGCAATGTATCATATATATAGAATATCTACATCATTTAACATAAAGCAACAAGTCACATTTGTCTGCATTTTATCTCCAACTTGAAATTGCTTTGCCCTGATAAACAATCCTCAAGCTGCAGTGAAGATTCTGAATAGAACTTTAACTTCAGTAATTGAATTGATAAAGCTAATAAAAAGAATTTAAGTCTTAAACAATCGTTGCTATGACGGCAAAGTTAAGTGTTTAACAGAAAGACGGAAAAACGGGCGTAATGCCTTTAGTATTTCCGTACGTTTAATGGTAATGTAATTATATCATTAAATTTTTAACTTTTTAGAACCTTGGAAAAATTCGAAACGAATCATAAACTACGAATTGCATAACAATCCATAAGTCTTCAATTGTTGTGCCAATTCTACACTGTACTCTACCCTCTATACATTTTATTTCACAGTATATACACTCTACAGTTTCTACACTGTCTAACTATTTAAACTCTACACTCTCTACCCTCTCTACTTTTTTTACGCTCTCTCCCCTTCCAACACTCTCCACACTTCATACACTCTCTATACTCTCCGCTGTTTCTATACTTTCTTCGCTTCTCTATGCTTTCTACACTCTCCACACTCTTTACACTCTCCATGCTCTACACCTTCTATAGTCTCTTCAATCTCTTCACTCTCTACACTCTATATTCTCTACACTCTCTACATTCTCTAGATTTTCTATACTCTCCATACTCTGCTCTCTCTATACTTTCTTCACTCTCATCACTCTCTGCGCTTTATACACCCTACGTACTCTACACTGAACACTTTCCATTCTCTACACTGTACTCTACATTCGAATCTAATAGACTCCACTCTACACATTCCACTTCATACTACAAACACTCTCTCTCTATATTCTCTGCCACTTTACACCACTTACCCGCTCTACACTTCACCCTCCCACACCCCACTCTCCACTCTACACACTTTCAGTTATGTTAGCCTTAAACACAACTTAAATGGCAAACAAACATATGAAAAATTGTTAATTGAGCATTAAGCAACTATTGGCTCAACTGCGTATTGGGGCGATTACGTTATCAGCGTACAGAATGGAGTATTATTTGCATAATTGGCAACAAGTCGCGAAATTAGAGTAAATATTTAATGATAATGATAAATATTGACTACGGAGCGGCATATGTAGAAGCATGAGGCTTAGCCTAATTGAATGCGAGATTCGATTCCCTGGCAGCTGCTGTTGTAGCCCCCACTTGAGTCTCCCCATGCAGCGACACATGTGTTTGCCCTTGAACCTCAGCCACGCATGGCTCGAGTCTCGGGGATTAGTGGTGCCGCCTGCCATGCTCCTCCATTGCCCTGCAGAGTGGCACATAAGTACTTGAGCCTCAGCCTAATTGATTAGCTATAAGTGTGGCTCCTCTTGACCTTCCTCTCCCCCTGCCCCAATCACCCTCCCGACCCGCGGGTCGTCTGTTTGCTTTTCGTATTTGGCGCAAGTGTTGCTCGCAATACGGTCAAGAGCAGTGGCCAGGCCAAAAATGGGTTACAAGCGGTTGGCCATGCCATCGCAACAACTAAAACAACAACAACAACAACAACCATACTTTACTTTAGATGAAACGCATGATAAATGTGTTCTAAGAGCCAGAGACTTGCCATAAATATCACTCAACGATTACGCAATGCTGAATTCGAAATGAAAACTTTAGACTTGAAAACAAGATTTATTTTTATTTTTTATACAAGTTTTTTATGTTTTTAGTTATTGTTCTTTTTTTATTTTTATTTTTTTATTTTAATGTGCGGGTTCACATGGGAAACTGTGGATACCCTGTAAATTGGCAATGAAATGCAAAGGGAAAAGTTGTAGTGAAAAATTGAGATGGATGAGAGATGAAAGGGGAAGAAGGGGGATAGAGAAAATGAGAGAGAGAGAGAGAGAAAGGTAAAGAAGACAGAGAAACATAAAGATGTAGTGTGAGAGAGGGAGAAACAGGCAGAGATAGAGACAGAGAGAAAAAGAAATATAGAGACAGAAAGACAAAGACAGACATAGCAACAGAGGGAGAGAGAGAGCGTGAGTGAGTCATAATAAACATTAATAATATCCAAAATACTTTTTAATTTATTTTAACAAGTTTATAAACTCTAATTACAAGATAAACTGAATATTTGATTACAGGGTATCTGAGTACCGTCTACATTGCTAAGCAGTTTCCTCAGATTGTTTGAGTGGGAGCATGTAATATATCAATATATCAGACACATGATTTTAAGTGCTCTTTTGATATCGATGCCCATTCCGCACTCGGGTTTAATTGGCGGCTGCTAATAGATAAATGTTCGAGGTGACATCTAGTTTGGGACTTGCCATAAATTCATAGCCATGAATTGACAAAGATATTCTCAATTAATTGACAGCAGCTGGCGCACCTCAAACTCTACATTCTTCAAGTTCCATTAAATTATTAAGAAAAAGTTTAATAATTCAAGAAAATATTTTGATGCTCTTCACAATTCTTGATATTTTAAGTTAATCTTGTACTCATTTATATCGTTATAAAATTCCAAGAAAGTTCTTATAATTAATTCAATTTTATTCTTTTCTTTTTGTCTTCGCAAATTCAATAAATCATGATTTATGTTTCTTGTTTTCTATGCCAATATATTTCTTGAACTTATTCATGGCATAAACGTAGTCCATTCGAAATTTATACTTCAGTTACACAATCAATGTTTTAGCCATTCTATATACTCTATTCATATAGTGACAAGAGAGTATATTAGCACACAAAAACTTGGATAAGATAGACTCACATATATAGATAACATGCTAAGATTATAACACTAATCACGTCGCAAATCAGTTTAATCTATTATGCTTCAGTTATTAAACTACGACGACGTTTGCCGTATAGATTCTGTTATACCCAAGTGGTTCGTCATAGAGATTATTCATTCAACTGCACCTTGGGCATAGGAATTCTAATTTGCTTCATTACTTTAAAGGAATTATATATTTAATGAGTATATCCCACAAAATTACCCACTTAAGTATTGCAGGTATTATTATGATGTGTCTAAGCGACATTCCAATGCAGCTATTGTTAATCAGCTTCGGATTTTTTAAACACCTGACCCAAAGTATATTTATCAACTCAATTCTCTCAAGTAGCAATCGACACACGGAGGGAACAATGATAGCGTGTTCCAATTGTGGTTGTAATTAATCAAAAGACGCTTATCTCTTAACGGCAGAGCTTAGCAAAAAGTATGAAATCATAAGGCCTGATAAAAGCATGAAAAATAATAATTTTGCGTTGCTTTGGCTAAAGTCAAATCCGATTCATGTGCAAATACAAATTATTTTCAAAAGTTCTGTAACTGCATTCGTGCGTGATATTTTGTTGATTTGGAAATCGTGTAGTTTGCTTGATGTTTGCTCAACAAATTAACGACCCGAGCACAAATTTGCTGAATTCTTGCACACAAATGTAACAAAAGACGCCGCCGAAAATAATTCAAACTGCGAAACATCAATAATCGGAATACTGCATTCTGACACCTACCGAATTGACAAAAAAAATGTATTTGAAGGGAATTCCAGAATCGGCACACAAAAATTTATGAACTGTTATACACCCGGCAGTCGATCGTATTAAATTAACTAGCAATAAAATAAATTTCATTTAAACGCAAAGTAATTAATTTCGGTTTATTGTCAGAGCTCATGCTTGCTTGCGATGACAGCTATTCAATTTACCGTTAAACATATTGTTGCTGTTGACTTTTTCAATATTTCGTCAAATGACATAAGAAATAAGTAAATAAGTAGATGCCATAGTAGAAGCAATGCTTCTTGATCTAATGTCGAATTGTTTGATTTGAGGACCTTAAATTTGTATATGCTTTATCACAAAACTGTTATACTGCATACTGAATATACTGCAGCATAGTCCCACTATCGAACAGTAGTACAATAAATTTTTTAAAGTTTACTTCTACAAATTTTAACAGACTGTTATATGAAATTATAATGTGCCAGCTGACACCGAGGTATATGTAAAGTGTTATACTGTTGATCAGTCTTAACTGACGACATTAAAGTTTTCCACTAAAGATCATTTCCAAATATTCATTTTATTGGTTTGTAATACATTTATATATGCTCATTGCCTATATGCAAAGTGTTATACTGAATATCAGCCTCAGTTGATGGCGTTTATAAAGTCTACATAGTTTTGTACTAAAGATCGGCTCTGAAAATACTGAAGTATATGATAATTTTATACTGTTATACTGTTATACTGTTATACTGTAAGTTAAGCTAAGCTGCTGACATTCTATCAAATATTGAAGCATTCATTCTACTCGCTCATAATATATTTTCAATATGATCATACAGTGTTATACTTAAGATCATCATCAAACACTTTAAGACAAGTTTCTCATACGATTCTCGTCCAAATGTGCAGACGATGATCACATGATCACATGATGATCACATATATAGAAAGTATTATACGGTTTATAGATTTCAGAAGCTGTTGACATTATAATATGCCACAGTAAAGTGTTATACTGAATATCAGCACAAGCCAATGCTCAAGGCTGACGATATGTCTCGCCATATGCTCAACGTCTGATACACGTAAAGTGTTATACTGACGATAAGCCGCAGCCCAATGAGCAAAGTATCCATTTGTAGAGGCTGATGACATGCCTTGATGTTATCGTCACATGCTACAGCCGCAACTTTGCCACTTAAATAGACATAAAAGTCAGTTAAACCAAAAATAGAAATTTGTATGCGGCGCGAAAAAAAGTTTGCGTTGAGCTCAAGTCGAGCTGGAGTCACAGATGTAAAATAAATTAAAAATAGAGCCCAGAGCTTATCGTACGCACGTTACGATCCATTAAAGCCTCAACTAAGGCCAGCCACGTAAATGAAATAATCAGATTTTATTCACACACACACACAGAGTCTGATTATTTTCTCTAATTAGCTGCACAATGGAGCTCAACTTTGTTATATTTAAATCTGTTATATTTGTATAGCTAAATTCGCATGATTACACGCATCGCCGCACTCGCAATTAGAGGGTCTGGCATATAAATATACATATATATATATATATATATATATACATATATCTAAATATATGTATAATATTTAAAGTAATTTCTGTGGCAGCAAAATTCAAATTTTAGTCAGAAATTCGCTTTTATTTAAATATATAATATACTTATATATATTATTTATTTTTTTTTTTTTGTGGCAATGCATCATTTTCTAATAGAACCATATCTTTACATCTAAATTTGTAATGTAAGTGTTTTCTCAGAATTCGTTGTGCTCTTTTTTCGTTGTTTTGATTCAATTTACACAAAAGTCGAAGACAATTTTTTCGTTGTTTTATTTTGGTTAGCTTTTTTATGAGTTCACAACACGTGTGTTTTGGGTCCAAAATTCTGTTTCTTGCTGAGATCATATTTTGGGATTGGCAGTCAAAAAAAAAACAAGAAGTAAAATTAAAGCAAAGTTAAGAAATGAGATCAATAGCAAAGTAACAAAGTAGAATACGTATTGTATAACAGAAGACAGAATCTACGTTTTATTTATATTTTGTATGTAGGACATTTTTGGTCCATGATAGCCAGACTCGTGAAAAGGGGAATATAAAATGTAATAGTATAACAGTGTGCAAAATATAATAATCGGAGCTGAATGTTATATTTACTTTTCACATATAACATTTAATAACAAGTTAATTGATAGCAACGCAACTAAAACATGTAATAAAAGTAAGTAGTATAACAGAAGTCAACATATGTGTGCACTGGTATATTTATTAGTTATTATATTCGAAATGCAATGTGCATTTTTCTATTTATGTATAACACTTTTATAACAAACATAATTAAAACATAGTGTGAAATGTTGCAGTATAACAATAATGTATGTATTTATTGCTTCTTATGCTCGCAAGGTGTTGTTCAATTTAATATTTACGTAGAACAGTTTTACAACAAGTTCAACATACGAAATGAAGACATGTGTGAAGCGTAATATGAAATTAAATAGGTTAACAGAAGGCAAAATGTGCATTTGTTAATTGGCACATTCGATACGTTTAGTTCTAGCATATTTACCTTGTTTTATATATATATATATATAATAGTTTTACAACAATCTCAACTCAGCTTATTGACACCTCGAAACATGCAATAAATGCCACCTTTCAAATTATGTACACAAAATTGTTAAAAACTCACAAAAGACTCAACGACAAACTTAAAATTATTTTAGGCAGGAGTCGATCGGACCTCCTCTAAACGATCCGCGCACTTTGACTTGACAACAAACACTGCGCGCCATAAAAACCGCAAAGCTCGAAGACGGCGAACGAAAAGCAAAATGTTAAGCGCACTGCGCTGCACAGTGTCCCCACTCTATAGAAAATGTAATTTACTTAAATCATAGTATTTACATTAATGAATTTATTTACTTCCCGGCAATTAAAATTACTACAATTACTTTGTAAGCTTTATATTACTCGTCAAAATTCTAGATGAGCTCGTAAAATTGTATTCAAAAATTTTCTTTTTGTTTTTCTTATCAGCTACGTATTTTTTTTTGTATTCTGCTGACTGTAGATGCTTAGCTAGTTACTTGAGTCATTAAAGCGTCGGAAACATATAAGTTTTTTTGATATTTTTTTCTCGCATTAAGATTATTTTATGCCCAAATTTTAAATAATATATAGAACAATTTTATATTATAATATAGATAAATATTATAGCGATAGCTGAGTAAGAATGAAATTTAAATATATCCGGCTGAGTATGCTTGTGACATGAAAGTTTAGTATAACTATAAAAATTATTTATACAAAATTTAAATTTCTCGTTAAATTAAGTTCAGTTGTTAAATAAATGTTGTGTTCATTAAAATAATACGATTTAATTATTCCCCATGAGCTTTGTGAATGGAAATTTTAGAATTATTATTTGACTTAGACCGAAATAGAAATTAATTTTAATCTAAGCTGAATCTAGATTTTGTACTTAATTTGATAAACAAATTCTATGCAACGAATGAAAACATTAATAAATTTTGCGATCGATTAGATTATTGTGATATTTGGCTAACATAAATCATTTAATTGATTTACTTAAATTGCTTACTAAATAGAAATGCCAATGATGTAAAGTTTTTATTGTTAGTGTTAATTGATTATTCCACTGTGCTAACTTCGTTGGCGAACGCTGTAATTAGTAGAGAACAAAGCAAACAATCGGTAAAAAGTACGGTATATGCTTCGGCTGAGTAGAAGAGTGAAGGAGTAGTTGGTGGGGAAGGGGAAGAGGAAGAGGAATAGGCAAAAAAGCCGAGTAGCACGTGCGCGCACCTTCGTGTCTGCTTGCATTGTTGCTGTTATTGCTGCTGTTGTTGCTGTAAATTGTTCTTGTAGCTTACTTCTAATACAAATGTACCAAAATAGGGTACCTTATTGTAAGCCGTGGTACATTTCTACTATACAAAAGAATTTCCCAATTTATTGTGTTTTCTTAAGCCTAACCAAGAGTTTTTAATTTCTGCAAAAAATTAAAAAATTAAAAATGTTATTTTTTTAAATAATAGTAAATAAATAAAAGATTATAAGATACATAATAGTATACATTAAGAATGTTTTTCTTTTATTATAGAGGAAACCGTACTTTTAGCTTGACAAACTATTTTTCTTTCTTTAATATTAACTTGCCATAAAATAATTTTTTTATTAATTTAAAAAAATAAAAAAATATACTGGTGTTGATGGCAAAAAACAGTTTAATTTAAAAATGTAATTTTCCTATTTTTAGTATTTGCTTTATTTTCATATGACTTTTAGCTTATGTAACACAATAAAACTAAAGTTAAATGTGTTTAAAAAAAAATATATAAAATATGATAATAACATAAATTTGAAAAATTTTTAGCCCTAAGTGTAAAATACAAATAATCTATGCTACAATAAATTTCGAGCCAAATGTGAGTTGAGAAGCGAGGGTGTGAGTGTGGGCGTGGATGGTTAGTGGCTGGGGTAGGGATAGGCGCACGGGCAGGGATAGGGCTAGGGGTTGTCACGCTGTGTAACGTCAATTGTGACGATAGCGAGACAGTGGGTGCAATTACTGCCAATGCGTTGGTAAATAAACATGTGCAATCAGCGATATATGGTTTTTTATGATCTGTTTAAATATTTAGACATTTATTGGCGCAGAGAACACAGGGAATTGGTACACAAACGTCCAACAGCGCGTCGCAAGTCGCTGGTCGCGTGACGTTTGTGAAAAATTTCCGCCCCATTTTCATTGGCGCTTATCAGAAGCGAAAGTCAAACAATTATTTAGCGCAATGTTTTGATTTTTTTGGTTTATTTTCTTAATTAATTTAGTGCAACCAAAAAACTTTTCCACTGTGGCATGCCATAAACACTGATTTATGGTTAAATAGTCACATTCAATTGACTTTACGGTCCCTCATCGAGTCAGCTTGTCGGTCTGTGTGGGTGGGTGCGTTAACTCGGCAGACTATCAGATTTCGAGCTGTCATTCGCATGACGTTCAGCTAATTGTTGCCGTGACAACCGATTAGAAGATCTTAAATTCTCTGTGCGAGCGTGTGTGCCAATCTAATTAAATAATATGCTAAGCTAAGTGTCTAGTTTGGTCATTTTAAATTAAATTTCCTTGTGTTAATTTTAATTCATTTGCTTAGTATCCACTCCAATTCTATTTAATTTATTAAACTAAAAAAATAATGCTCAGTTATATAATTTGGAGTTGAGAGTGATGAGTTAAATTACAAATAGTTATTATTTTTTGTATATATGTATTATATTAATTAATACTTGAATATTTGAAAATTTTGAAGTCAAATTAAGAAAATACTTTATTTTATTATACATTATTATTTTATTTTATATGTTAATAAAAATGTAATTTAAAGGTTTTTTAGTAAGTATATTCTATTTATTATTTAAATATGGTTCATTGCATTGCTTGAGCCATGAAGTGCAGCATACTTTTATGATGTGCCATAAATTTTAACAGGTTTGTGTCTTGGCTCTTGTTAACTGCAGATACTATTTATTAGCTTGCACTATATATATAAATAAATGGCTAACATCTAAATATAACAAAAATCATTTAATCTCATCTAAATAAAGATTTCATGCTTAGCACTTAAGAATTAATTAAATTTTGCTGTCTAACGTAAGCCACTTATAAATATAGTCATTATACTGTTATATTGCTCAGGCCGCGTTATGTAACTTGCACTGAAACAATATGAAAAGTAAAACTTATGCAAATGAAAATCTCTCCCCAGCGCCAGGCCAAGCTGACTTTTCATTATTGAAATTTATGAGTTGCTCTGCGAGCATTTGACAGTTAGTTGACTTGGACAACGCCCAGTTGGGCGCCGGGATACGAGTCCTTGAACTACGAGGCCCAGCGTGACAGAGCAGTCCATTTGCATGCCTATTACCCTTGAACAGCCAAGTGAATGTGAAATCGCTGAGGTAACACTGCCGTAGAGGCAGGTGGATTGGCCTGTGAGCGACTCCGGTGACTTATGCCTGATGGGAATGACAAATGAAAAGCCGGACGTACATAGCTCAAGGGGCTTCTCAATCAATTAAGCAAATTAAACGTAAAGTGCGCACTAAAAGTTCTAGTTCAATCGTTAAGTGCGGAAGTTTTGTTTAAATCACATGCAGCTCACACAGCTTTCTGGTCATTAAACACTGGCAGCAGCAGCAGCAGTTGCCCGAAACCCGAGATTGGCAAATCTGGCTCTTATCAGTGATCCCAAACATATTTCCAATTGCCTTTTTTTATGGCAACATTCGCATTCCCCTCCACGTTTCCAACTTCATTTCCATTTCCATTTCCATTTCATTGCAAATGGTTTTCGTATAGAACACGTACGAGTTATACAAACAAAAGACGCCGCCAGCGGGCAAAAAGTTAACTAGCGCACTACAAAAAACTGTAATACGAGCGAGTAAGAGTGTTGACTATTTAGGCAGTGACTGACTAGCAGATATCCTGTATGAAATGTGAGACGAGCTATACCAAATTGGAAATATTCACGTTTAAAAATAATAAATAAATAGAATAATAAATAAAAATATGGATATTATTAATTCATGAAAAGTGCATTTGGATGAGTTATTATAAGAGATGGGTGACGAAAAGAAATTAAATCTATACGATACGAGAATATATATAAATATATAATTAACTTTTTAGGCGGATAACTAGATAAAGGAACGTGCAGAGAGTTAGTCAACCATAAGGGTTAATCGACTTTATTAACCTGATCAGGGCTTTATATATACTTCAGCTCTTCAAAGCCCTTTCTTTTGCCTGCTACATACATTCATAGTTAATCATTATACCCCAAATTCTTACTGCCAATGATCTCAGGGTATAAACAAAATGCGGAGTAAATACAATAGAAAAAGTAAGCTAAAGAAAAAACAAAAAAAAAAACGAAATTGAAATACTGTTCTTGGTATTCGGCTGAGCAAATACGATTATTTTTATACTACAACAATTAAGCAAACACAATTGGCGAATTTCGAACTAGACAAAAGCCAACACACGCACTTGACTGTGTCAATCAATTTTCTGTTGCGGGCTCAAGTGTTCTACTCCAACGGCAAACGGCTAAAGCCGAAACTGAAAAAACCTTAAGATAAATAAAACTTAATACGAAGATTGTTAATTGCCTGCAATTTTGGCAGCGCACGCGTCTCTCTGGCAGGAAGTGCCCTGAGACGACGCCTCATCAGTCAGAACCGAACGATTTGCGTACTCTTTGCTGTGAGCACAACGACTTACACATGACGAATGCCAGCTGTTTCTGTTTGAATATATCTGAAAAGTTTTCCATTTTCTAAGTAGATGCTTCAACTTGAGTACAGCAATGGCTTTTCAGAAATCATTTCTATCACTTTTAATTTTAATAAAATATATTTTTTATTATTATCTTATTATTTTATAAACTCATAGTAAATTCCTAAAACTATTCGACTTTCTAGAAAATACATACATTTGAGTTTATTTTTATATAATACATAAGCTTTCAATACTATATAAAAACATTTATGGCATCATGTATAACAGTTAATCATAGTCATGTTAAGATTAATGGATGCATCAAAATACATATATATATACTATTATAAGCCCAACTGTACTAAACTTTTCTACAGGGTACTCTGCTATATAATACTAAGCAAAACTCTATTATAGGTATACATTACTATACTGTTATATTCATTAAACTAAATTGAGCTATACTATATTATATTGTAAATTTCTGTACAGAGTGTAATATTGTATACTTTCCATTACTAAACTGTACAACACTGTATTTTTCAAAGTTTATTACCCTAAACTATATATAACTTTACTAAACTGTACTACAGCTTCTAATACCTTACGTAACAAGACTAAACTGTACTACACCATGCTACACACTACTATATTAAGCTGTAGTATACTATAGGAACATATACCAAACTGTTATACACTATTATGCTTGTATAGTATAACAGTCTTAGCTCTATACAACTATATTAAACTATAATAGCTATATTATATACTATATTAAATATCAGTGCAGAGTATATATAAAGTCGTTCAATATCAATAAAAAAGAGCACAAAAAGCTGTAACAAATCGCATATGAAATCTGGAAAATAATTACAAATAGAAAGTCTTGATGAATATGAATGAATAATTAGCTTTCGTAGGGTCTGTTTTTGGCTTAGACTTCTATAACAAACCAGCAAAAAAACTTTTAAATGCAGTCTTTAGTCAACTTCATTACGTCATATATACATATTCATATTTATATATATATATATATGTATGAACAGCTGATGCATTGTTGAGGCATTAGCAAGCGCCCACATAGAAAATATTTGGTCGCTTTTTGAAGAATTTCCCACGCTGTGCGTGCGTCGAGCTGCAAAAAATCATTTTGTCAATAGCCCAAGATTTCGAGCAGCAACAATAACAGCACTTAATGCCTCAAGTATAACAGTTAGTCATAGTCATGCCAAGATCGTCGTAGTGGAAGTCGAAAAACAAAAACAACACAAGCAACAAAATGTTGGCCTTATCGAAGCACGCGAATGAATACACCTAACAAATGTAGCCAAAGTAAAAATATTAATAATGGTATATAAATATAAAAATATTAGGTACAAATTGCAGATCTTAAACATGGGACAACAGTGACAGTTAGAGAGTCTATATATGTGTGCAGGCTGGACTCGAACTCGAACTCGAACACGAAAGTCAAATTCAAATTCGGATTCGCACTGACTCAGAAAGATTGATGGATGTAGCTAAATCTGGGCTCTGAAGTGTCAAAGCGGGCGACATTGACCTTTATTTACACTCTGTGTGTGCGTGAGTGTGTGTGTGAGTGTACATACGGAGCAAATTAATGATCCGCTCATAGCTCAGAGCTCGATAACAATTGCACGTGGCACACTCCTAACTACACCTGAGTGAACCACAAAATGTACCAATTTTTTGGCCATTTCATGGCTCCATTTTTTTTTTGACTGAATCATTTGCGTTTATTGCTGCCAGTTGCCAGTTTTGCACACGAAATTCATTTTGCCGATTAGCCATGCCAATAACTGTAAATCATTCGCGCCAACAACAACAACAAGAAACTATTCGTCGATCGACGCACATCGCTAAATTTTTGATATTGTTTTGTGAACTGGATTTCATTCAATTTCTTCTTCGGACACTGAAGTCAATGTCGAGCTTTGCTAAAGTTTACCATTTACTGTTATAAATGATGGTATTTTTAATATAGGGAATTTGTGTTAAAGAGCTTGAAAGTAAATTTACTTTTACTTTTATGCCCTTTAGTAGAAATTGCTCTATCGCAATGAAGACTGAAATTATTATTACTATATTTTTGCTTACTATATTTTTCAATATATATATTCATACTTGTTCGATAAATTATTGCTCAGAGAGTATCAAGTTAGAATGAGTGGCAGAGAGCAGAGTTAACAGCGCAGCTGTATGGCAGGCAGTGAAGCAGATGATTAATCTGTGGTCATTAAACAGACTTGAAATTAGTTTTTGAGTTAAAGAATATTACTTTCAGTTGCCTAAAATGTCATTTTAATATATGTATGAAACTTTTATACCTTACATATATATTTAAATTCATGCATTGGTTTTTTTTTGATTTCCAGAAATTTAAGTTGTAGTAACTAAACGAAATACATTTTTAAAAGTAATGAAATGGTTTTTTTTTAGGTAGAAAACCTTCTACGATTAATGTTTAAATATAAGTTTAGTTATTTGGTTGTTGCGAAAAAGGCATAATCTGGAACACAAACTGTGCACAATCCTGGCTATCGTCGTTTTTGAAGAAAAATGGATTAGTAATTTTCTGTGGTAGTTTGGCAAAAACAACAAGAAGCAAGTAGTTCTCTGCTGTAAATCTATCTATAATAAAATTTCGAAAAAAACCTAATAAAAAGCAGCTATCAACTGCTGAACAGATAGTCAAATAAAGAAGGGTTATCAAATTAAAGTTGTAAACCTTAAAAGAGCCCTCTATATATACATATAAAACAACATACGGAATCTCATTAATTTCTAATATATTCTCACGTTTAGCAAGTATATCTAGCAGACCAGATGTCTAGGCCTATTTCAGTTTAATATTTGGGTTTCGCATATGGAACTATTTCGACTGTTTATTAGTTAGCTTGAGTGCTGACTATGAGATAATTTTATATAAATAAAAGAAAAAAATAATTATTATAAGATCTTTAGTAAATACTCATTATTTAATGAGCTTAACTTGAATATAATTTCGTTTTTAATTTGATATCAACTTGTTTACAAATTGCTTTTCTTTTGTTTTTAATATATCTAAAAATTCCCATTATTATGAAGCACACATTTCTTGCCAGCCTGTTGATCAAAGCACATTCTACAATTAAAATAAAAAATAATGTGTTTTTCCTCCATTTCAATGGGTTCACAGTGAAATAATATGAAGTAGAATTTGCTTTAAGTTCACAATAATAAAAAAATCTAATTAAATTTCTTGGAAATGAAAATACCTAATTTGTATTTATATGACAGAATTGCTAAAAAGAAATCTAGGTTGATGACATCAACAAATTTGTTTTGCACGGTTTTAGGTGCGTGCCTAAGCAAAGTATATCAAGTGGAATCAACAGAAGGGGGAGCAAATAGTTTGATTCTAACTTATATGAGATTTGTAAATTTCCCATTATTTAACAATTTGTTATGGACTTTGTTCAACTGTTGTAATTACCTTAGCAACTATCAAGATTTGCATAGGCCTTTAATTGGCTCGAATCGAATCGATTCGAATGTTAAGCAAACACAATGTTGGCCCAGCTAAGACGGTCCGTATAACAGTTGCGATCTTAGGTATTGTAAATTTCGAGTTCGAATATCGAGTGGCACTTGCTGGCGGGCTATTTTTATGGCCGTCTGGGGCTTTGAGTACATATAATTGAATTTATCAGGCAGCCAAATGCTTTTCCTGAGCTGCGAAAATCCGTCTGAGCGGGCATTATTTATCGAAAAAAGTGCGCGCTACTATATCTTTTTGCTATATTTGTTTTTGTAGTTTCGTTGTTTGTTTGTTTGTGGTTTGTTTTGTCAATAAATTGCAACTGTTGCTCGAGCCTGAAATAAATATGACAAGGTTTCGCAGTGGGTGTATCCATAAGCTAGCCTACGTTATTAACAATGACAGAAAAAACCTCTAATATGCAATGATAATCAATAATAAAGCGGAGCACAGCAGGCAAAGGAAATTGTTTAAAACAAAACAAGTGAAATGTGAAGAGCGACAAGCGCCAAGCCACTATTAGCCTGTAGCGCTGAAAAAACTCACTAATGTGCAATTAAGTATTGGTAATATATGTGCTATCTAATACTACTTGCATGACAGTGCATTGGAGGCCGCCGATAGGATGGATTACCGCTAATCAGTTGAAAGAATGAAGTTCTCCATGTTGATAACGCGTTCAAAGTTGACTTAATCAGTTCGTGTTCGCTTCACGAGTGGAACGTGTCTTTAAAATGACTTTTGAAATATTAACAAAAACAGGTGACAGACTACATGGCCTGAGTGTGTGATGTGCCTAAGCATACCCTGGAAATATTTAAATGAATACTAAAAGTCGAAATATGCAATTAATAAGAAAAATTTCTATGATACTGGTAGGAATGTTAGAGAGGGGAAATATGCAAAATTTCAAATAAGAATACACCTTTTTTTGGAGAAATTTCCAAGCTACTGCTATAAATGTAAGAAAAAGGAAAATTGGGATATTTAAAATTTAAGTATTTAATTTTTTAGAAATATTCCTAAAATACTGGTATGAATGTAAGAGAGAAGAAATATGAGCTGTTTAAAATAAAAATAACCAATTATTAAATAGTTAAAATATTAATATTAAATATGAATATTAAATAGTTAAAATATGAAATTTTTACGATGATTTTTCAAACAATGATATATGTGTAAAAGAAGGTATATTAAGGAAAATTCAAATAAATAATAAATAAATAATTTTACTACTTACTAAGTTGAACAACTAAATGGAATACGCTTACCCTAATCAGGGATAAAATTTACATGCAATTTTAGCGAGAAATCCATAAAGAGCTAAACGTTAGCTCTGTTATAAATTATAAATGGTAAAAAACCTGTTTTGCATTTTAAGAAAATGATTGATTTAAGACAATAATAAAAAAGCGAAAAAAAGGGAAAACTGAGTATTATAATACTACAATAAAACAGAAATTACAAACAGATGATTAGGTTCTATAGTAGAAAATACTTTTCAGACCAACCAATACACCCTTTACGCATCCTCATTCTATCTCAGGGTATAGGTCGTATGCAAAATGTACTAATTAAGTCATAAGGGCAAGTCTTCAGTCAGTCCTTTAACGGTAAATCCAAGCAGCAGCAGAAGCTCAGCGCCAAGCCCAAATGCTAAAAGGCTGCGCCGACTGCGACGCCGGGCTTCGCAGTCGCAGTCGTCGCTAACGAGCGAGCGCAGTCGCCGTCGCAGCCGGCGCTAGCGGCAGCGGGCCGACTGAGAGTATATCAGTTACAGACACAGCGGCCTTAACGTTTATTTGCGCTCGAGCAGCGAACGTGGCAGCAGCGAACGCAAAGCAAAGCAAAAGCAAATCAAAAAGCAAAACCAATTCAATCGAAGCAAAGCGAAGCGAAGCGAAAAAAACAAAACTCTGGCCCAAACAGTCGAAGTCAGAAAGTCTTAAAGATAGTTTATCAAGTGCTCGCAGTAATAGATTCAATTCAATTTCGATTTCAATTTCAATTATCTGGCGAAACGGCGCCAACTAAGCCAAGTTAATTAAATCGAGTAAATTTTGTTGTCGCGCTTTCATTTTCATTTTGGTTAAACGATCGCGCGCAGTGAAAAATACAGAGTTTCGCCTACAAAAGAAATGCTAAACAATTGCCGTTAAGTGAAATTGTCATTGCTAGTTTCGAACAGTATAACAGATTTATAGCGGTGTCTTGCGGCATTTGTGCTATTGTGAACGGCTCGATACGAAATATCGAACATCGAAGCGAATTTTTATGGTCAAGTGCCTGCGTCTCTGGCCATTGTGCAACTCCCAGCCACTTAACCTTAACAATCATTATTTGGCAATAAAAACATTTGGCACAATCATTTCATTCAAGTGGGCCCAAGTACGTCTCGAATAGCCCACAAAATATAGACAAAATCCCAATCGCACTTTTACCCCGCCAACGAAAGCAAACCAACTGGACTCAGCGAACCCACGCGGCGCTAAACTCGAGTAGCAGTACCCAAACACAGAAGCACATAAAGCAGAAGAAGAAGAAGAGAACGGCGAAGAAAGAGACACAGACGAAGAAATAGTGCAAAATGGTCGAGAAGACAGGTGAGTGCAAGTGGCAAAGCGAATGAATGAATGAATATATTTTGGGGGGGAAATTTCAAGTGTTTTGGCATGCATATGCTTTTATTGTCATGTGTGTGTGTGTGTGAGTTTCGTGTGTGGAATATGTTACGGCACGGTCGTTTGACTATGACTATGAAAAATAATTTAAATTGTAGAAAGTACTAGCATTTGACAAGCATCAAAAATTTCAACGAATTAAACTTGCAAAAAACTAAAAACATTTTAATTGAAATTTATAAATTACGCTTTGTTCAGACAAATTCAAATCTTCTTTGTTTCATGCTGAGAACATTTTTCTTTAATTATATTGTTTGGTAAAGGAAAGGAAAAAAACAGGGAAATTATTTTGAGTTAAGCTTCGGTAACTTAATAAATCACTTGATATATGTGCGTATCAGCTAACAAGTTGTGATCAGGCGTAACCGACAGCCTAATACTCTTTGTAAGAGTAAAACAGAAATATATAAATTTTTCCATGTTTTTCGATTAGCCTCGCCTTGATGGGCGTAACTAACTAAATTATAGTTCTATGTGTAGCGAAGATCAGACGATTCGATTTGACATGCCTAAATGGGCGTAACAATTTAACTTAAGGGTCAACTGGGATTCACCTGTAAAACTTGGTGAAACTGGCGCTGAGATTGTTAAAGATTTTGATAGATAAATTTACATGATCTAAAAGGCTGGCATACCCGAGTATAAACATTTATCAAATACTGAGTAGAGTAGCTTTAATTTCGACATCAATAATAGCGTTTATTGTATACAATATACAGAGTATTGCCACACCCACAGTAGGCGTAGCCATAGAATCTTAAAACGCTATCAGGCGAGAGTATATATATAAATAACTTTTGCTTTTAATGCTGACAGATAAAGGTGAAACTGATAAACTTCTTATGCCAACTGCACGAGTATAAGAAAATTTAAATAAAAACGTTTTTGATAACTAAATGTCTTGTAAAAATAAATTATAACAGTTCGCTGCAAGTATAAAAGTTGTTTCACTGTCAGCTGAAAATATCCCAAATTTATAAACAACAAATTAAGCGATAAGCCTTTCGTAAGGAATTTATTTTTAAATTTCCCTGCTGAAGTAGGGAATAAATTTGAAGCAGCTTAATACGGCGCTTCCTCAGCGCGCAGGGAAGTGTGAAATTAATGACAATTTACAAAACTGATAAATCACGTTTGACTATTTAATCAAATGTGCATGTCTCTTGCATATGTTTTTGTTGCCTTTGCCTTTTATCAATAATCAAATGATTGCTTTTCAATATTTGCATCGTCGCAACATGACGGCAAATTGGTGGCAAGTTTCGTTGAGGCTGATTGCTGTTAGCTGAAGTTTTGATGACAAAAGACAGACGCTGCTAGTGGCTCGTAAACAGCTGTGGCACAACATTAGCTTTCAGCCATTTAAGCAATGATCGCTTCCTCAACGAAAGCTGGTAATAAAAAGACATAAAAAAGACAATCAAAGCGACAGTTAGGCAAATTTGTCAAGCAAATTCAACAAATTATGGCCATCTATTGATATTTATAGCAAACACATTTTATGGCAAATAATTTCCTCAGAATCAAGAGGGTTTGCGCTAGTCTTAACTATTTGCCAAGGGGTCAGCAGATAAAGCCAACTGGCGTCAGCTGCGTCACAGCGATAAGAAATTGAAATTGAAATGGAAATTGAAACTGAAAAAAACAGCTTTAATATTTACTCCGTTAATTAATTTTGCGCCAGCTCAGCCAGGGCAAGAGCAGCTAATTAATGTACGACTCGAAGTGTTTTTGTTTTAACAATTGTCCAAACACAAACAGCGCGTGAGAAACAAAAAACCAATATTTGGCTTAAATATCGGCCGAACAAGCTGCTAAAAGCCCCTGACATAGGCCCCCAACCTTGGCAGTGAACACACACAATGGAAGTAATTGATCTTCGCGGCGAACTATGGCAATGGGCGACGCAAAAACGTGTTCATAATTTCTCTTCTAGCAGCACATTTGGCGACAGCTGAGCCCCTTGGCCAACCCCTGATTTATGCTAGCCCAACATCGTGTCTTATTAACGGCCACGACTGCTAGTCGGAAGTGACATTCAAACTATCTTTTAGTTGACACTCGCAATGACATCACATAGTGAAATTTGCTACTGTATCGAGAGAGAGAGAGAGAGAGGAAGATCAAGGCGCCAGCTTCTCTCTCCCTCTCTCACGCTATGGGCTGTGACTGGCCTAATCGCTCAATGGGACCTCAACATGTTATTAATGAATGCGGCTTATAATTAAGTTAATAATCCAGCCACTGCTTAGAGCTTCCACTTGAAAATCTATTTTCCATGGAAAGTTTTTATTTGCGTGACTCTCAATAAATTTCAAATGCAAAATCATTAGCAAAAACGGTTAACGAAAGCAAATTATATAAGTGACTGATAGAGACGTACAAAGTTAGTAAACTCATTTAACAATTGACAAGCATCAAGTTGGGAAAAAGGTATCAAATTTTAATTATGAGAACCTTTTGTTTAACTCAGAGAAATGATTAGCTGCACTAAGATAAGTGATTTGCGCTGACGCATCCAATTCTGTGGCGGAGTCCCCTGGTTCGATTTATCGGTTTGGTAATCGAACCTGCTTAAAGGCATAAATTAGCGGGTCATAAAACACACCTCCCGCACACAAATTCTGTGGAGCGAGTCGGAGCTGCAGCCCGTGCCTAAACTGACTAATTAATGAATTTATAGCAAAATTTATGGTTGAGTTTTTGAGCCGTATCTAATTTTTTTGCCGGCCAAGAACAGGTTTTCGGTACTAACTATGAAGAACTGCGCTTTGATTGTTGTTGCTGCTGCTGCTGATGTTTGTTTGTTTTGTGTGTCTGTCTTAATAAAATCATCACCTTTTCGCAGCAAGTGCTGGGCAAGAGTTCACAGTGGGCCGAAATTAATAATGGGATTATATTGATTAATTGCCCTGGCGCAAGAGTAGAAAACACGCGCCTTTTGCGGCGCGTTTTCTTTCGATCTTTTGTGCGCCCCATAATTCAGGCTTCAATAAAACATTAGCTAACATATATGGCTATTCGTAAATTAGCAACTTATGCGATTTTCGCGTGCGTATGGCTCATAAATGAGACGCTCTATAAACTTATAGCAAATTCGCTATTTGCCATTATGCATAGTGGGGAAATTTGTTTGTCAGGGACATTGCTCATACGCAGCGTTGTGCGCTCATATCCATGAATAGACAGTCAGTCAGTCAGTTAGTTAGTCAAGGCAACGCCCAAAATGAATATTGCTAGTGATTTTTAACAGGATTTAGGTGTGGCACCCACACACACACACACACACACACAGAGCGAGAAGCTTGGCCAAGCCTTTGACTTGGCGTGTTTCTGTTCGACTGACACGTGTGGCCAGCCGCGCCTTCGTCTTTGCCTTGGCTGTGGCCATTGGTCAAGGCAGCAAGTGCTGTTGCTTTTACCAAACAACATCCTTTTGGCAGCTCTGCCAAATGAGTGTAGGATGTAAGTCAGCTGCAGCGGAAGTTGAAAAGAACAAACGAGTTGCAAGCGGACATAAATATCTTAAAGCCTTCAGCTGGTAGATATATTTGGCAGTCATGCAAGCTAATTATTGCGTAACTGAACAATCTGCCATCAGCAGTTAGCAGCAGTCAGTTAGCACCCATCCCAACACACACACACACACACACACACACGCATAGCCATCGTCGCTGCTCTGCCTATTCTTTCTGGCCTTGTCATTGGACTTTATCTTATCGGCGTTGGCTCGTAAATTGCCGAGACTTGTCGGGCACATGAAAGGCGGACACACAGCAAAAGATTGTATCTGACTAGCAATAGGAGGACTACAACTAGAGGCACCTACCCAGACGCTAACTTGGCCCGAACTACGACAGAGCTCAGCTGTCGGCAAATTTTGCTTGTCAATCAAAATATCACATTTCACTTGCTCATTTTTTGTGCCTTTCCGGTAAGTTTTTTCCATATCAAACTTCAAGGAATTTCACAATTGTCGCTCAACAGAAATTAAGTTAAGTAATTGCTAAATTCACTTAAACTCGTAGATAAAACAATCAAATGTCTAAAGGCAGAAATAAATTTTTATCTTCTAATTTCTCTTAGTCACTTAACATTTGCTGGTACTTTTGAAATTACCCTCGCTTCGAGTTTGTTTTACCGGTTACATGTAAATGCAATGAAATTTCCTTTCTAGGCCGCAACTTTACCGTTAACATAAATTATATGGAGTAAGGCCGGCCTCCAACAACTTTTGCTGGCCAAGCCAAAGCAGCTCCATTGATGCCAAACTTCTGATACGGAACGAGTGCTTGCGTGTGTGTTTATGTATGTATGTATGTGTGTGTGTGTGTGTGCGTGTGTGTACTTGCATGAGTTTGACCTTGACATTAGGAATGAGTCGTGTTTTATTGCAAATACTACAAATGTATTCTTATAAATTCATTCATATGCCATCAGCAGCAACATCAAGATTTCAATCTCTCCAGCGCCGATAAAAAAAAGTAGCATAGGCATATAGCAGTGTTGTGCTAGACTATGAAATACCCTGTGCAGAGTTGGCATGGACATTGTAAATTCGCTGATAACATTTGACATGTATTGAGTAAGGTTTTTGTTACGCCATAGTATAATGCTCTACTGTTATACATATCTGTTCTACGTCTATAGATAGAAAGCTGAGTAACGCTTTTCTACAATATTATTATAATGTTATACAATCATTGGTAGACAACAGTATGAAATGAATAAGCTTTTCAATCCTAAATGTATTATATACTGTTATATTGTTATACTGTTATGCGAATGTGTTCTACGTACGTGGATGTTGAGTGGCTCTGTTCAATGCCTTACATGTTATATTTGATATACGAAAGTGTTATACGGATATTGAACTGTTATACTATTATACAAATTTATAACCACATTATTCATTATTTTACACTACTGTCTGATACATATGTACTCTTACAGTTCAACACTTTTTTCGTATCTATTTCCGTAGTACAGGGTATTTTAGGTCGTGCTCTTCTTACGTTTCAATCGCAACACGGAAGACTCCACAACAGCTGACTTCACTGAGTGTTCTACCCGCTTTGCATATCAATTTTGTGTGCTGGAAATCTGAGACGTACTTGACGTACTTCGGCTATTCGTGATTTGCAACTTGTTATTCACGCTTATTTGGGTTACATGTGCCGGCTCCAGAATACCGTTACACATGCTACTGGAATGTGTGCTGCCTGCCGCTAGAGGGCGTTGCTGTTCATGTTTATCTTCAATTAAAAATTCTTGTTATTTTTATTTGCTGCCGATGCGCGTTTTCACTAATTGAAATCATGTTGTTTTCATGCTCTTCTTATCCGATATGCTTCTGATCACAATTATAGCATTAAAAGTGTTAGTTTTGGGAAAATTAACAACAATTCATCTCGAAACGAAAGAGTTCTTCTCCATGATTTATGAATTGTTTCAATTAAAAGCATTTTAGGCTATACTCACAATTAATATTAATCAGATTTTGGTATTCATTAGATACAATCAGCTTATGTAGCCTTGCTTTTTTATTTTTGATCATTTAAATCCATTCAATGTCTTGTCGTCACGCCCTCGCCGAAGAAACCACAAGAAAAAGGGAGAAAAAAAATCGAATTTCAATGTTTTTTTCTCACTTATATTTGCTTTGTCCAATTGGCGATTATTGTGTGTAATGTTTATTGTCTTGGCCTTTTGCTTCTCCTTTTTGGCAACAATTATTCATTTTTTAGACCTATTTTTATAGTCCAAAACTTGTTGATTTGCGCTCAATGGCAGCGCCTCATAGAGATCACTTAAGATAAACTCTGCGAACATGACTTACTCATTTTGTCTGCGGCCACGTTATTAACAAAAATAAAAATATAAACAATAAAACAACAACAAAATCCACTTGAAGGTTGAAGCAAATTTAATTTCCTTTTCTCTCATTCTTGCTTTCTTAACAAAAATAAAATGGGTAATTTAGATAAAAGCTGGTTCTTGTCCAGGCTAACTTTGATAAGGGCAGTAACAAACTGAACTTTCGAATTCGGTTAGCTCTGATATAAAGTTGCCAAAACACAATCTTTATTATGGCGCATGGTAGTCAAAAATGTGTGTATATTTTAAGAACAGTCATATACTTATACAAATAATTTATTTGAACTAAGTTATGTACCACAAGTTGCTTCCAGCTATACTTTGGCAATCTCAATGATAAAATTCATACTTGTTAACAACAAAGTTGCAAATTGTTATATACACTCAGCATTTCAGGCAGATCTTCTGAAATATAAGTTAAAATCATCATATTGCTTTTGGGCAATATGAACCCTTCTGATCAATTTTAAAAATATATGTTAGCTGTTTACAACATATAAGATTAATTTAATAGTCTTATACATTCCACGACTATTTTTAGCACACTTGGGCACTTTACAAATTGCTTTATTTATTGTTATTGGCTTATCAGGCAATGGCTACCAATATGGCCACAGGCCAGATTACAGCCTAAAAACTAACGAATTTGACGCCATCAATTATAAGTTGTGATTCAGTCACACTTCGAGCGCTAATCACACGACGCGGAATGTCAACCTCAATGAGCCTACGGGCAGAGGTAATCGCTGCTTATCTCATGTAGTAGCTGTACTCATAATCACATTTGATGCTTGAAAGGGAAGTTCATGTTGACAAGGGCAATTCGACAATAAAAACTGGCTGTCGACTTAGCTAAATCTGTAACTCAAGTCCATTTCCATTTTCATTTTCAATTTCAAATCAACTTCAAATTTACAAACGGGTTGGCATCGAGTGGATCTCATTGAACTTGAGGGAGCCTCGCTCAACGGTGATTGATCAAGCGCCGTTATGGATAGAGCTGGCTAATGATGATGCGCTGCGTTGCATTGATGCAATATTGATTGATTGATATAACTGACAAACTGACTAACTGACTGACTGATTGATTGATTGTCTCACACATTAATAGCACTTGTCTTGCCTTCGCGCCGGCTGCCCGGACCAACTCCGATTAGCATAAACAAATTGAATGCTGGCAAACGCTTAGCATACAATGAACAGAGCCGAGCAGCCGAACAAATGTCCCAATGCAAATAAACCATTAATTTCGGCTTATGCTAATTGCGGTCTTAGATTGGCTGTCAGCGAGCTGATCTCGTTTCCATGTGAATTATTTATGCTTTACCACCAATTCGAGTCTTATATTTGCATACGACCATAATTCATCAGCTGTGGGTGTTCACTGTGGTTTACTTTTCACATGCAAACTGTTTTTGATATGCAGACAGGTTGACGCATTCCAATCATATTTGTTCCCTATATTCACATCTCATTTCCCATGTCTATTTATAAGACTCGCATATTGACTAAAGTAAAGTTTTTATCGCAACTATTGACAACTGACATTGATTAATTATGGAGGCACGCTGGAGCCAGCTGCCTAACTTCCCACTATTTTCAATTTCCCAACTAATCATAAGCATATTTCACAAATTCCGCACACGTTTCTTATACAGCTTGGCAATTTGATATCTTCTTCGACTTATGCCCAATGAATCTGAATGAAAAGTGAGTCAAGCGCTTCCATTCTATTCTATAAATAATATTATTACTGTTTCTATTGCTGTCGTCAATTGTGAATTGTCAATTGTTTTATGATGTGGCTCATGCAACTGCACAGAGTTGAGCTTCTGTTGAGTAAGTCCCCTGCCCCATAGAGCAATGGCGCTAGCTGCCATGCGTTATCAATGTGTCACGGGAACTGGGGCCGAGTGGAAGATAATTGGCGTATTAAGTGAAGTGTGCGAGCTCTGTGATAACATTGCTTATCAGCCTGTAGCTAAAAGTGGGAAATTTGATAAGCATTCATTCCCTTTAATATTTACATGCGGATTATGAACAATCTTTTTATGACCCTTCAAGTTGCGTAAGCCACGGCAATGTGGAGCAGAATCAAAATACTTCATAATAAATACCCTGGCGAGGTTTCAATCGGGCCTGCCCGACGTTCCTTACAGTGAAATTAAAATGTGCTCAGCCATTAACGTCTTAGAATTGATTATAAATCAGTTTTTATAGTTAGTCAAGCATTTGATTTATTTTTATTCAACATATTGGGTGTAAATAACTTGACTTAAGTACGCGCGTTATGCCTAGGCACACTTAAGTACTGCGAAGTTCGCTTTCGCAAGTGAGGCGTCAATTCAACAATATTATTTGCTTAAACAAATTAATTGACACCTCAGCTGATTAGCATTGACTTTAAATAAACATCAATGAATGAAACAACAACAACGACAACAACATCAATACGTAAACAACATCGATCTAGCTAAGCAAATGAGGAAATAATGCGCAGAGAGCGATGCGAGTCAATTAATTAATCAATTGGTGTGAAACTATCAATGGATCATGAAAACTAATACGATGCGAATTTTCACACGATTTCGTAGAGGGAAATTGAAAATTACCCTAATGTTTGTTGAGCTAGGAAAAAGACTTTGTAAGAAAGGGATTTTCTTAAGTATATGGATGTGTCAGAAAAATCCCATTAATTGCAAATTACGTGTATTTGCTTAAGAATATAATGCAAGGTTAGTTAGCATCGATATATCAGAAAGCATCGATACAGATATGCTAGACTGGGAAATATTATGAGAGAGTAATCCATGGAGATATCTTTATTGCAAGACTCGGAGTACATATTGAAAAAAGATCAGAATTCGAAAAGCATTTGGCGAGTTTAAAATAATTTGGACTACATGATTAGGAGTAAAATATATTAAATATATATATATATATATATATATATATATATAATATATTATAAGAAAATATATATATATATAAAATATATTTATGAAGATATGTGGGCGACACAAGATCGATGACATTTTGCAGAGTAATATAAGTCAACGGCCTTAATTCGGAATGAAATCCTGACTGAAAACATTAATCGAAAAACACTTACTTTCCTGTCAATGATCTCTTTAGAACAGTTTCGCATGTTCAATTCGAGAACAACAAAATTCGGATTCGGCGCCAAAAAACTTGAATTCGATTTCCTTTTGACACGATTTGCAGATTTTTGATAACTGAGTCGATTGCTGATTGATTGATTATGTTTGTCGACGCATAAGTAATTTAATAATTAATTAGAGTTCGGCATGCGCTGTGCAAGTTTGTAATCAATGCATTATTAATATTAATACTGATCGAATCTGTCTGTTGCTCCGTGTGTGTGTTTGTGTTTATCTTTTCAGACATGTCGAAATTCGTTGGCGTTGCCGACATCACGGAGAACAAGAAAATCTGGCGCATGCTGCTCGGCGAGCTGGTGGGCACATTTTTGCTGGTATTCATTGGCGTTGGCAGCACGGCGACCGGAAGTGCGACAGTGCCGCAGATAGCGTTCACCTTTGGCTTGACGGTGGCCACTCTCGCCCAGGTAATTACTCCATATAAATCTAATCTTGTGATGGCTATCTTATCAAATACTTTAATGCCCCAAGCAGAATATCCTTTACTATACTAAATCTCAACAAAATGTAAAAAAACCCATTATGTACAGAGAACAATATCCCATACTCAATATCCCTAAACCGCACAATATATAAAATATCCCCTACTCAGTATGCCATCAAAATACTACACAGGCCAAAAATCCCATCAATATCCTTTACCCCAGCAAATTATTAAATATCCCAATCTCAATATCACATTATTGCACAGTTAGCGAATACACAAACCAATCGCACAAAGCGATTTATAGAAATAGCAAATCATGCGTTCAAGGACACGCCACCGCCGCGTTACACTTTCGACCGGACCGAAACTCATTCACAGATCAGAGCCGTTGGCTGTTGGCCGCTGGTCAGTCGCATTTTGGGCAAGACATTGGCATTTAAAAGCCGACAACAACAAGCGCATAAAAACGCAATCGAATGCGGCGCAGTCGTCGCGTTGGCTGCGTGCGAATGTTATTTACAAAGCTGACAGATTTACAGACACAGCACACGGCACACAGATACACAGCTACAGATTCAGATACAGATACAGATACAGCTACAATATCTGCAGTGGTCATTAGCGCCGCGCACGCTGCGTATGAGTAACGCACAACGATTCGGACTGAGACTCCGAATGCGCATGCGAATGCGAATGCGAATGCGAATGTGAATGTGAATAATAAATGCGAATTCGTCTGCGTCGGCAATTAACATTAATCAACACGCAAAATATGCAATTAGATTATTATGCGTTTAATTACGTTATGCCTCTTGATGTTTTAGTTGTCGATGTCGCCGTTGTTGTTGTTGTTGTTGTTGTTTCAGTTGTTGCAGTTTCTGTTTTTAGAATTCTAAGCGCTGCACTATTTTGAATCGAATTTATGACAACAAACCAAACCCGCAGCCTGCGTAGATCATCATGAGACACGCTCCACTCGACTTGCTATAACTTTATAGTGGACGAGCGTAGCGTGCTATAAAGTTGAAGGTTCGCAATCAATCATTGATCCGGCGATAAGTCAAGTTAATTAACAAACAAAATAATGGCTAATGCGACGCATTCAGATAGTTCTATTAGCTTTCGATTGTCCTCAAATCAAGAAACACTTTGTGTAGCCAGCAAATGGCCACAATTATTTATTGAATATGAAGTGAATGCAGATGTTAGCTTGTGTTTGCATAGAATAGTCAAGCCGAAGAGGAGACTGCAGCTATTGAAGCTAATATTTCATATGTCAGCAAAGAAAACCTTTCATTAGGGGCGCTAAGGTGTCAATGTTGCAACTGAACGCTACAATACAAGATGTTTTGATAGCTTCGTCAATATTCTTAAATTAAGCTAAATCTTCCCGGGTCTGCTTACTATTTAGCGCCAACAGCGAGTGCACTTAGTCAAGTCTATATCTTTTTCTAAACTAGTCTCTGAGTCTTCTACTTGGTGTCAAGAAAGTCATATATAACAGAAGATTCAACACATATATAAAGCCAACTTCTTTCCATGAGCTCAATAAAAGAAGTTAAGAGAAGTATACATAGAGACGAAGTCAATCTATTCGCCTTTATCAAACAAGGGAAGAAAGCAAGTAGCTTTACCTACTGTACATCACAGGACATGCAGTTTATTACATAATTAGGAAAATAGTCCATAGCAGTCAGAAGAGTGCTCAAAGATGCTTCCTGAGCACGATTATTTTAGTGTTCAATAGATGCAGATTAACAAATCAAGGGCAAGGCTTTACCCCACAGCTAGAGCGTAAGGATCCATCCAAGTTCTTTGTAGCTCTAACTGACCATTACTCAATCGGCAGACAGCTTTACGCTGAGTCAGCCATGCTTGCCACATATAAGTAGGAAACCTTAGCCACCCCGGAGCGTGGACTAGCGAGTCAGCTTGACATAAAAGATCTTAGCTTAAGCACATTAAACAATCGTTTACACAAGGTATGCGCATCGCTTATGAAAGCAAAGACTTAATGAGAAATCCTCAAGTCCATGAGCTACTTAGGCAGCTTGGGCAGCATAAGTTCGTGTTCGATACACAATAAATGTTGGGCTTTCTTAGCCAAATGCCATTTGTGAGTTAATTAGCAGCATTAATAACAAGACTTTGCTATAAAAGCATCTCGAGCACATGTATTTAAGTGTATTCCATCTTTCGGAGTGGCTTTGCCTACTGCAGCTCTTGCAAAACTCTAATTTTATAATCATGTTCATCATGTAGACATGCACACATAGTGGACAGGCGTGTGTGCCTGCATTAGACTTGGCTTGAATCGCGATATGGCGGACATCACGATAGGCTCGCTGTTGGGCCTGAGCCAGACACGTGTGAACGCTGCAACAGGTGTTGCGTAATTGGTCGCCTGACGAATGAAAGAGTATCTTCGAAATTTCCACACTTTCATCAGCGATTAGTCAGAAATGAATTGCGATTGGCCAATGCAGGCAACTGCAGCGAGATAGTCACTAGTCACGAGCCACGAATCACGAATCACGAGTCACGAGTCACGAGTCACGAGTTGCATGTTGTGAAAAGCGAGCAGCATTGCGACAATTAGTTGCAGTGGCAGTTGCACTTGCAGCAATGACGTGTGGCACGAGACCTGATTGCTCTGGCTTGCTTTTTGCGGTCAGTCATCGAACTCGATTTCTAAATAAGCCAAGCAGCAACTCGACAACAACAGCAACAACACCAAGAGCAACAGCAACAGCAACAGCAACGAATGCTGGCAGCTGCATGGCGGAGTCCGTAACAAATGAGAAACGTGCTAATTGAGCGACATTTAATGCCATCTGTGCGAGGGAAAAAACAATTTCAAATACAATATTTACTGTGTTGCGACATACTTAATCTTATATAGGTATAACATGAACGGAAAAAGTATTTAGCAGTGCGAGGGAATTCGTATAGCTGAAGCAGAAGAAGTAGCCAACAATATTTCCCTTTATTATTCGACTTTATCGTGATAGGCAGCTATTACGAAGGGAATTAGCGATGTGCACATGAATTTTAGTTTAGGCATGTTTCTTTGCGAGAGAAGAGACCAGGAGATAGGAGTCAAGATCAGAAATGAGGCGTGAAGAGAAGAGAGGCGAAATCTATATATATTTACTACTGGGGAATATAATATGCAATTTTAGAAGAGGCAAAGATAAGAGAGGTGGAATATGATGTGTGTTGAATTTAGTATTTTTGTAAAATATATGAATTTAGTATTTTTATAAATATACTGAATTCGTATCTTAGTATTTTAAGTATTCAAAGAGTTTTTGCTATAGATATTGGTTTAGCTCATCGACATTTATTAAAAATGTACTTAAATAACAAATAGACCAGGACGATTACTAAGCGAAGAGTATAGAGTAGAGTAGAGTAGACTAAACCAGACTGGAGTGGAGTAGAGTAGAGTAGATTATAGTAGAGAGTATATTAGCCTCGACTCCACTTTAGAGATAAACAAACTTAAAACTTAAAATGTTAATTAAATTATAATTCCCTTCTATTTATATTAATATTTTGCAAACATTTCAATTAAAAATAGTACAAGAGTATTATAATTTATTAAAAAATATAAGGCTGTAATTTAAGCCCTTGCCCTTACGAGCTGTGTGCCGACAGAGACACAGCGCTAACTAGCTTCGATTACAAATGAATAGCTAGTTAGGTGCAGTCAGAACATAATCAACGATCTGGACAGTGAATGCAGCGCGCTCTTAGAGATAATATCGCTGTCTAAGCTTGTCAACGGCGGCGACATTTGTATGCGAGCTGCGTTGCATTGTCTCATGAGCTGACAAAAGGAAGTGGGGCAGCTAGAAAATGCAAACAACAATACGATTATAGATGACAACAACAAGCCATAGAAATGCAAAGCTGTTGACAATTTGATTTTAATAGCAAATATATATATATATATACTACATATGTATGAGTATTCCGTATAGTTGGGAAGAAAATTCCAGTGCTGATTTTTATGCGGGTCGCCAAACGAAACGAAACGCCAAGAAATAATAATCATAAATTTTGAGTGCCGGCAGTTGAGCTGAGTCGAGATGAGCTGAGCTGAGCTGGAGGCTAATCAGATGCACGGCCCGCAATTAGGGATTGGCTCTTTGATTTACGGCCATTATCGGACGCAACGCAATACGCCATAGAACAGATGAGTCCCCGATCTGAAACAGAGCCACAGAATGCGCTCTCAAACACTGAAAGGCCAAGCTCGAAGTCAAAGTCGAAAAAACCTCCAGCGCCAATCAAGGTGCAACATGCAAGATCAATAAAAAAGCAACACACACACAGCTGTGCGTGTGTGTGTGTGTGTGTTAATTATGCAACACGACAACAACGTTGGCTACAAAATTGTGCGTGCACCATTCACGTTTTCTCAATTCAATTCAATTCAATTCAGTAAAATCAAACGATCCGCAAAACTGCGCCGAAATGAGCCAAAATGGCAAAGCCAGCTACAAGCTTTGGGCCAACTGCTCGGCTTTTTGGCCAAAACGAACTTGAAATGCGCAGCAACAATCACCAACAACAACAACAGCAACAGCAACAACAACAAGCGCAGTTGCAGCTAAGCAGAACGAAACAAACAAGTTAACATTCAATTTAACTAAAAAGCCATAAAATATGATTTAACGCGCAAATGTCGCACAACAGCAACAGCAGCAACAACAACAAATAGCAACAAATGCGCGCAGACATTCGTGCGCCTGCGTAAGCCTCAATCCATGCGATCATTATCTATATCTCTCCATATATCTGGCACTGCGTGCAAATAGCTAACAAACTGCATAAGAGACTAAGAGAGGCAGAGAGAGGGAGGGAGAGGGAGAGAGAGGCAGTTACTTGAAGTGACCAACACAGTAAATGCTATAAAAATAGATACAAATCTCGAAGAAACCAAATTTCTTATACAAGTTCGAGAAGTCCAAAGAGTATATTGGTTTTGGGCAATGTGTATCTATTATTCATTTATTCTGTCCTTCCGCATGTCCCTATAAGAAGCAACGAATTTTGTTGTTGAACTGAAGATCAGAGAGTATTGCACTTAGATCACAGTTAATTAAAAAATATCAAGTTTTATTTAATTTATTTATTTATAAGACTATTGAGTCATCACACATTTAACTGCTTGCTTTCATCGTTGTCAAAACTCATGCTAAAATTCCTCATCTGTTTATGCTAAAGGGAGCAGAAAAATCCTTAACAATATGGGAATTTCATTACGGAAATATTTGATAGTATTAAAAAGGGAAATTCAGTTAAGCAGTGGGACAAACAGACACTTGAGTATAGATATTACAATAAGCTCATCATTTTATAGATGAGAGAAGATAGTATTTCTAATTTATATACAGACTTACACATAGAAAGGTATTTGCCCAGTTCGTAATTCAGTTCTCACATATATAATTTAAAGCTGTATACACCTATAATAAAATAATAAAATTATATTCACCTTAATTTTCGTTTTTTGTTTTGGCAACAAAAAACCCTGAACTGAATGTAATCAAAGATAAAATATTTGTGCTGTGTACATATACATATATAAATGTAAATTCAAAATTTTTTAAATTATAAATACATTTTTCAAATAATAATAAATTAAATTACTAAAATTGGTAATAAACTGAAAAGGAGCCACCTTCAGGTTCAGGGATATTCACAGAAATGAAAACCGAGTTCACAAACCTTAGCAATGAGCAGAACCATCAAAACCCGAAAAGTACTTTTACAAGGCTATTCCTTGTTCTTAATAAACTGAAAGGTACTTTTGGTTTAAAAGTACTTTTACATTATTGTGCCTTCAAAAAGTACTTTTACACCGATATTCCACATATTCTATAAACCAAAAGGTGTTTTTTCACTGCTATTTCATATACTCTATAAATACAGTTTAGACTTTACAAATAGTTATGACTTGCCCGCCTCTATTCTCACGCACTTGACGCATGTTTGTGCTGCATACGTAAATCAAATTATTTAATGATAGGTTTTGTGTGAGTGCGCATGTGTGTGTGTGTGTGTATGTATGCCACATCGAAATATCATGACTCATTCTAGTGTGCATTCTAATCGATGTGGCAACAACAACAGCAGCAGCTCTTGCAAATGTGCGCGATCTTGATGATTAGGCGCGACTGACAGCGTATATTATTCACGCAGTCACTTTGCCACAAGAGCAACAAAAGCCGCAACACGCTGCACTTATATAATTTGATGAAAAGAAACCAAAAACAATTATAAATTGCAAAGCGTGCGTATGGCAAAGGCCAAGCGAACTTCGAAGATTGCATCGAAATGAATCTAAAGCTGTACAAACTGTGCGCCGCTCGGGCCTAAACTAGAGGCCCAAACCTGCCCCCCACCTGCCCGCGAGTCGAGCTTAGGCAGGCTTAGCCACAACTAAATCGAAACTGAAATCGCACTGCGATATGATAGTACATAGAAGCCTGCACCTCGGCCTTGGGCACAGACGCGTTTTTGAATGTAGTGCGTATTCATTCATAACACGAGTACTCACTCCGACTTCGACTCCGACTCAGACTCCGACTCGTAGTCGTACTCACTTGCAGCTCAAGTGGCAATTTGTTATTCTTTTTCGATTTCTGTATCTCTAGTTCTGAGCACAACATGTTCAGCTCGGCTGGCACTACAGATCCAGCTCCAGTTTCAGCTTCACAGCGAGCTGACAGCTTGGCTCATGACTCAACAGAATGCGATTAACTTTTACTTTTAGCCAAATGCTCATCAAAGTGAACTTTAATGGCGATCGACAGCACTCCAGAGAGTTGGGCATTGGCTCTGCCTGGCTCTCTGAGTGCAACTCAGCTGTCAGACAAATTGCTTGCATCCGCTGCGACTTGCGTCTGGCAGCGTTGTGCAAGAGCCCAACTGCAGACGCCATGGCAAAGGGTAAACATTGCCCAACCCAGAAACGAGGCAGCAACAAGTGCTCAACTTGAAGACTTGACATTTAATGTCTAGCACATGCAGTCGTTTACATGATCTTCACCTGACTCTATAATGGAACTGTATCTGTCAAGTAATCAGAAAGTGAAAGAGAGATCAATCAATTGAACATGAAGTACTCTGTGCATACATGTCTACGCCCAGACATTATTTACATTGACTTACATTACAAATTTCGTTAGCTGGTAAATTATATTGCCACTGCATCGAACCACCTTATAGTATATGTGATTAAAATACGAGCTCAACGAGATATTAAATGAAAACATTTATGACCTCGTTAAACAGACTTAATTCTCTTAATGTTCTTTAGAATGCGATGTCAAGTGTTATTGCAATTAGTTATCTATAATAAAGATTTAACTCATTTCACGTATATTGCTTAATTAAGAAAACACATATATTTGGAAGAATTACAGAATGAGAGATATACTTAGATATTATATTATATTAGATATATATATTATATCATATTATAAAGTGCTACAGATATATCAATACAGACACAGATACATAGATACATAGATACATAGATACAGAGATACATAGATACATAGATACATAGATATATAGATATATAGATATATAGATACACAGATACATAGATACATAGATACATAGATACATAGATACATAGATACGTAGATACATAGATACATAGATACATAGATACATAGATACATAGATACATAGATACATAGATACATAGATACATAGATACATAGATACATAGATACATAGATACATAGATACATAGATACATAGAAACATAGATACATAGATATATAGATATATAGATACATAGATACATAGATACATAGATACATAGATACATAGATACATAGATACATAGATACATAGATACATAGATACATAGATACATAGATACATAGATACATAGATACATAGATACATAGATACATAGATACATAGATACATAGATACATAGATACATAGGTACATAGGTACATAGATACATAGAAATGGTCTCAATATTTTCCCCATTTCTAATTTATCAACTTTTTGTAATATTTCCCAATGAAATTTCCCAATATTTAATTCTTCATCTGCTTGTATATTTTGCAGGGACTAGGTCACATCAGCGGCTGTCACATCAATCCGGCCGTCACCATCGGCTTCTTGATTGTCGGCGAGATGAGCATCCTCAAGGCGGCCTTCTACATAATCGTGCAATGTGTGGGCGCCATTGCTGGAGCAGCTGTTATCCGGGCAGCTCTCAGTGGAATGTTAACGGTCGGACTTGGTGTTTCCTCATTTAATGCCTCGTTGGATGTGGGTCAAGTCGTGCTGATCGAGGCGTTGATCACATTCATTCTGGTCTTTGTAGTCAAGGCTGTGTCCGATCCGGGTCGCCAAGACATCAAGGGATCAGCCCCACTGGCCGTCGGCCTGTCCATTGCAGCGGGACATTTGTGTGCGGTAGGTTAAATGAGAATCCGAGTAATAAGTTCGTATAATAAGAGACTTTTTCCTTTCACAGATTAAGCTTAGCGGTGCCAGCATGAATCCCGCTCGCTCCTTCGGGCCAGCCGTCGTCCAAGGCATGTGGACCGATCACTGGGTCTACTGGGTGGGTCCAATAGTGGGCGGAATTATTGCCGCTGTCATCTACAAGTTCATCTTCAAGGTGCGCAAGGGCGACGATGAGGCCAACTCTTACGACTTCTAAGATCTTTCTCTCACTCCTTCCTTGTCTCTCTCTCTATCTCTCACTCTTTTTCTCCCTATCCAATCATCATTTGCCCCTTGTTCCCACCGGAACACATTCACATTCCTGTTGTTAAATTGAACATGTGTGTTGCCCATGCACATTTGGCTTTGTCCTTTTAGATTCCATCGAATTCTTTTCTACTTAGATAAGCTCAACGAGAGCCTCACAATACAAATTGCTTTGTTTTTATTTGTTAAAAAATAAAAATCGCTTTGTTTTAGTCGTACTAACACTTAAAATATATTGAATATTCTATGTTTAGAGCTTAAGATAAGTAAAATTCCCATTATTTGGCTTTAGCTACGCACATGCAGCACAGATTCGAACCTCGAAATGCGATTTGCTATGCCCTCATCACCGAATTATTTGTTACAAATTGTTATTGTGTCTAAGTAAACAATTATCGAGCACAAATAAACATATTCCATAAATTACGAATTATATGTGTAATAAAATATATTAAAATCCAAATAGTTAAGTGTGTTTTATTTGAAATGTTTTAATTAAATAAGCAATAGAGAAGCATTGGCTGGGAAATGGAAATTTGTCTGCCAAATCTTGATCTTAACCAAAGTCAATACATATATCTTCTTATAGTGTCAAGCATATTAAATATAATTTCAACAAGTTGAATTATTTTTTTCCTCCCGAAAAAAAAAAGACAATATTTTTCATGTCTTGTTTGAAATTATTGTAAGAGAGGGAAGATATTATATCTAATTATGTTCGGATGGGTGATTTCATATAAAAATTAATATTAATAAAAAAATATATGATTAACTGCTTGCTAATTTAACAACTTTTTTAAAATAATATAATATAATTGTATTAAGAGTATTAGTGTTCTTATAAGCGGCCAACCATATAATGTTGCCTACTTTCAGGCATGTCATTCAATTCTAATTAAAAAATTCGAGCATTACGTTTACTGCGAAAATTTTGTGTAGCATACTTTTAGGTATGTGCGAATATTTACTCATTAGGGACATCTTTTGGCAATTTACCAGTTAAGTAATTTGGATAGAATATTATTGTGAGATAAAAGTCCCTGGCTTTCTTCTTGACCAAACTCTGCTGCACTTGGTTGAATGTTTTAAAATGCATGAATAACAAAATATATAAAATGTAACTGCAATTATTTTTTGCTTATTCACAATGCATGTGAGGGTGACTGTGAATGTAAATATCCCTGGGCGAGTGTACGTGCTAATTGAAGTTCAATAACAGTTCGATTTGCATATGACGAACTTCCTCTGTTCATTCATGCGAACTGCGATTGAAAACAAAAGTTCTTTTGCGTCATGAGACACTGCAACACCATATGCGGGTGTTGTAGCCAAACAACAGCAACAACAACAACAGCAAATACCAAAATTAACTCCATTAAAAACGCGACGATAAATATGTTACAAGGTAAGTCGCGCACGCGTGCTCATCCACCCGCAGGTAAGTAAATTAAGCGGTACTCGCTTGTGGGTTTCACCGCTGATAAGACTTGGCCGACTTGCCCCCACTGGCTGAGCGGGCAGTAGCCATTAGCAGGCGCTGCAAACACTGCGCAGAATGTGCCACAGCATTGTTGTTTTGCAATTTAAGCGAGCCGAAAACAAATTACTCATGCGTTTTCCACGAATCGGCTAAGTAAATTTAATACGGTTTTCGCAGCGGGCGCAACACTAGATGCTCGTCTCGACGATCAGTCTGAAACGCAAGCAGCACGCGACAACACGAGCAATTGTATTCCGAAACAATGTCATTCCAATTGAAGTTGAATTTAATATGCCTGCTCTGTCTGCTGATCCAAGTGCAGGCACAAGATATTCCTGTAGAATTTCCTGTTGATTTTCCCACAACCACTGTTGAGACGGTAACAGAGTTAGCGGAGACAACAACCACAACTGCAGCTGCTACAGAGCCTGCCCCAACAACCACAACAACAACAGAAACAACCACAACTGATGCAACAACAGCTGCAACCACTCTTCCCACAAACAACATGCCAGCTTATCCGACTTATGCGCCGCCAACATACGTTCCACATTATCCCATCCGCCCAACAAGTGCTCCACAATTTCCCTGGCTCTGGAACCCGAATGACAGTGACTCTGAGATGAACTGTTATCTGAAAGAGCAAGTTGAAAATAAATATGTTAGCTGGACCTGTGGTTGTAAGTAGAGCGCAAAATCTCTCAGATCAGAGTCTATATAGTATATAATATATATTTATATTTTCGATTCGGTTACGTAGTCAACAGCTGGAGGCCAACGAAAAGCTGTTATCGCTGCTGCTATTATAGCTACAGCAGCTATGCTGGCTGCACTAAACTGCACGAGGGACGCTGCAATAATGGAAACTGGGCAATTTAAAATAATGGGTATTTGCTAATGAGCTGGTACGCTTATACCTGAAGGGAGAGAGAGAGCGGGAGAGCTAAGGAAATGTATAAATGAATATATTGAATGTCTAATTGGGTCAATTGTGGGCAATTGTTCAGCAATTACAAATAAATATTCACTAAACACCAGTATTTTGTGAGTTGAGTGATTTATTTAAAAGACTGCAGCATTCCAGGCAGTTGATGTTCAATTCAAGTTGTAGACATTTCCCAGATTGAGGAAACAATCCTTCAAGTGCTGCTGGCACTCACAGAAGTCGGGAAACGGGGGTGCCAATACCTCGTACATGATGCGCAGCAGATCGACAAACTTGTTGAGTGCCTTGGCGTAGTCGCCTGTGTCGTAGAGCCGTTTGGCTGTGCGCGTCATCATTTCAGTGTCCTGCATGACCTTCAGGCCCTTCAGTATGTTCGTCAGCTCGCCGCAGGTGACGCACTTGATCATAAAGTCGTTGCAGGTGGGCGGCACCTCAATGATCGCCGCACAGTTGTTGGGCGCCTCGCAGCGGAAGCGTATGATATCCCTGGGCAACTGATCGAACAGTGGCCAGTTCTCCAGGCACGCATCGCAGTTGCACTCGAACCAGTACAGCTCCTTCAGCCTGGCCTGGCGATCCTCGCGCTTGTCCTGCGTGTAGATGGGACCATAGTTCTCATTAATGGGCAGCCCCGCCTCCACCGGTCGCACGCTGTTAATGTGTATCGTGTTGCCGCGGAAGTACCTGACCACACCTGGATCACACGAGTGATTGAACAGCGCTAGCGTCGGATAGATGGCGCCGCCAATGAAGATGGACTTCTCCCTGCCCTCGGCCCCGTATTTGTGCAGCTCCGCCACCTCGTGGGTGTTGAACTGAATGAACTGCAGGCAGCGCAGCAGCAGCCCGCCTATGGCGTCCACCTGCTCTGACTGTGGCTCGCCGCCAAAGTAGCCTGCGGCCTGCAGGCATCTGGTCAGAAAGCGCGCCATCAGCACATATTGAAAGAAGTTCGATGCTGGCCGCTCCTTCTGATGCCGTTCCAGGTGTGCGACGCGTCGAAAATCGTCCTTGGGCAGACTGCAAATAGAGACAGGAATCAGCAAACGCTGGAGAGTGGCACATGGCAAATGGCAAACCTCAAGAGCTGCTCCAGTGACAGCTGCTCGTCCAGGCTGGATCTCAGCTGCAGAAAGTAGTCCAGCGGCTTGCTGGCAATGATTCGCAGCGCCATGTGATTGTTGATCGAGGCGCCGGAACGCCAGATCACAGGCAAAAGCCCGCACTCGAATCTGTGATACTTGGCAGCGGCCTTCTGCTGGCATTGCTCCGAACAGTAGATGACATCCGAGCAGCCCGGACAGGCCACTGGCACTACAGTACTGCAAATATGAAGATACTTTTCTTATCAGTAAGCAAATAAAAGCAGCATCAGTAATACATATAAATAAAGGGAATTTCAGGGAGATGAAAACTTTTAAAGACTAAAACCTTTAAATAGCAAATAGAACTTGTGAGAGTGTTGCTTATGATTCGGTGAGTATTATTTATTATTATTATGTATTTATTCAAAAGCATTCTTTATTTTAAATAAATATAGTGTATATGTCTACTCTATTCAATTTTGTTACCTATACTGCTCCTAAGCTCTTTGCTCCTACTTCAAACAACTTCATTGCTCTCTCAGTCACCCAAGGCCCAAGGCAACACTGACAAATATATACCCCAACCTTAGAATGCTCCGACAAGTGCTATGCTATTTTTGGTCTACCTGCATTAGTTTTGTCTCTCAAATTTTAACTGAGGATTGAGTGTTTTATTTCATAATCTTCACCAACTGATTAATGTTATTCATGAATATATATTTAAAACTATTTTTCTCTCTTACACACAAATTTGATAGCTGCAATCTGCATCAGCTGTGAATTCAACTATCTCTTTCATGTATAATGTAAAGATATATACTATATAAATCGGTTGAGTATACTTATATTTCAATTGACTAATTTGATTAAGGCAGAATAAGATTCCAAGAAGCCAATGAATAAGGCAAACACTGCTCTACGTTGTACATCTCTCAGTCTCTACATGCTGATGTCTTTAATATTTCCCATTATTTATGACTACTTGCCTATAGTTGCATAGATACTAATATATTGCCCATTATATAGCTACAATCAATGAACCATTCCATATATATTGTATATTCCTTTATATATATATAAGAAATATTCTTAGTCATTCATTAAATTTGTTCTTATCTTACTCTAAATTTTCCCTACTTTTATTTTAAATATTCCAACTAAAGCTCAGCAGTTGCCCACTGTATATCCACAGTAACCAAGACTCAAATCCCACTTGACAGCTTCACAACAATTTCCAGCTGATCTCTCACTTACCGCACAAAGCAATATTCGCAGTGGGTCTGAGCGTATTTCTCGAGCAGCACAGCGACGTAGGGACGCTCGACTAGCAGCTCCTGGCCCACCTGCACATCGGCTGCGGCGCGTGCGAATCGACCCTCCTGCGCATTCTGATCGATGCGCACCAGAGGGCTAACGAACTCCTTTTCGTGGGGCAGCGTTTGAGCTTGCTCCTGAGTTGAAGTCGCGGCGTTGGCTTGCTTCAATTTCTGCTGTTTGGCTGCTTGCTTGGCCGTGCGTGGATCCTTCTCCAGCATCTTGATCATGGTCATGGCCTCCAAATGCAGCTTGGATCGCCTGTCAGCCGGCAGCGTGGACTCATCAGAAGCCGTGATGCATTTTCTGGGTATAAAGCGAAAAGTTAGAGCAGATCTAATTCAATTGCGAACTGTGCCCACTTGAAGGCGCTGATCGTGCGCGGGTAGTCCTTCAGAGCCATGTAGCAGCGCGCCTGGCGCTCGTACAGCTTGTAGACCAGCTCCTTGGGATACTCCAGCTCCAAGGCGCGTCTGATGTCCACCAGGCACTCGCTGTGCTTCTGCATGTGATACAAAGTGGCCGAGCGATTGGCCAGCGCAACGGCACGCTCCGAAACTAAAATAAGTAGAAGTCAGGTATAAGAGTTCTTTGAAAAGTATAAGAGTTCTGCTCACTTTTGTCATGTGGCAACGTCACGTAGCATCTACTGTAGAGCAACATGGCCTCCAGCCATTTCTTCTGCTTGAAGGCCGTCGTGGCGCGCTCCTTCAGCTCCGCTGCAGCAGTTGCATTCTTTCCATTGAATTCCCGCTGCACTTGCAGCTCTGCATCGCCTGCTCGCACCCAGGCCAGCTGGTCCACATAGGCCACGCGCTCGTCATCTGTGCCACATGCTGACAACTTGGCTATGTCCGCCTCGCAGCTGGCACCGCCTGCGGCTCGTAGCTTCAGATAGTATTGGGCAAAGAAGCCCTTCTGCTGGCTAAGTGGCATTTTCATGGCGTTAGCTCAATATTTGATTGAAAATCAGCTATCAAATCTCAAATTATGCAAGTAGTGAAAATCTTAGAACCGCTTCTGTCGGCGCTGAATACTGCAATCGCACTGACTAGCCTACAACGTGTGGTATCCAGACAAAACGGTCGGGCCTTTTATTTTTAGATCTAAGCAGCACGCTATTCAGAGCAGCTGAGAAAGATCTCTATGCGAGATTCGGAGAGCGCGCGCATAATTTAGAATTTGTTTACAAACAAATTTACGAAATACTTTGCGATACTCTTCTCTTTCGATTTTCACACAGCCGGCAACGCCGTACAACGAATAAATACATAGATAGCTTTTGGAATTTCACCATCACCTACAGCTACACAGTTGTTTATACATGAAAACACAGTTAAGTTTATTAAAAGAGCAGCCTAAATTTAGCTGTCAAATAAATGTCAATTACGGTGGTGGCCACTCTCTTTATATGATGTGAGTTATCTGACGCGCATGCCCCATTCGCCTCTTTAGCTCAGTGGCAGAGCACTGGTCTTGTAAACCAGGGGTCGTGAGTTCAATCCTCACAGGAGGCAAACTATTTCGAACGTTTTTTTTTACATATGTATTTAATTATTTATTTTTTATTTATGTTAAAGATTGTAGTGTAAAATACTATTTCGAATTCAATTAAAATTACGCAAATTTTTAACAATATGTTCAGAAATTTCACGATTTAAGTTTAAGTTTAAAGCAAAAATAAAATCTTCCATGAATCATCACATTCAAATTATCAATCATATTGTATAATTATATATATATATTTCCTGTTTTTTTCCGTAATCTAATGTGGTCGTTTCTTATATATTATTTTTATAAGTTTTGTTTATATATATATATATATATATATATATATATATATATATATATATATATAAACAAAACTTATAAAAATAATATATAAGAAACGACCACATTAGATTACGGAAAAAAACAGGAAACCGGTACTAGCTAAATAAAGTAAAACACATTACAAACAATAAGCACTAACGAATTATTATATTTATTTTTATTATTATTAGACTATATCCGCTTAAATTGAACTAATGTAAGAATTTTAACTATTTTTTAGAAATAATTGCCGTAAAAAATATTTAAAATAAATATAATTTTATTTAATAAATAATTATGAATAAATAAAAAATTAATAATTTTCGAGTTGCCTCCTGTGAGGATTGAACTCACGACCCCTGGTTTACAAGACCAGTGCTCTGCCACTGAGCTAAAGAGGCATGAGCAACGCGCCCCGCTAATAACGTTGATAAGATCTGCGCATGCGGCAGCGCTCGTTGGCCACGTAATTTCGTTGCTCGGGGGCTGTTTGAACAGTTGGCAGTGTGCTTGTGTGCTTGCCTGCCTGACTGGCTGTACGCGGCGCAGTTCCATTAGGGCATTAGCCAATTTAAAGACGTGTTAATGCTATCTGCGATTAATTTGATGTCGGCTCTGATGCCAAGCCAAGTGTTATCTAGCATCAGCCAATTGCCTTGGAAATGAAGCCACCAACACCAGCTGTCGAGTTGCTGCTTCTGCGTTCTGCATTTGTTTGTTCGACTAATTAAGACAAGTTGGTTCCAGAAATGTTCCAAATGTCTACAATGTGTAAGTGTGTACTTTCAAACAGCAATTTGTTATGGTAACTTGTAAAGAAGAACGCGACTCTGCCTGGGCCTATTCTATTATATCTGTAACTGTGACGTGGGAACCTAACTGATGTTTGAGCAGCTCCACAGATTGCCAGTTGACTGTGAAAATGAAGATATGAACTGTGTCAGAAGTTACAGCCTATTGGAATTATATATAGAATATACATAGGTAAAATATGAATTATATGGAATATATATTATATGAAATATATTTTAATTATTGAAATATTAGAAAATAAATGAGAAGATTCATTGGCAAAATATTCAAAATATTACTATCAAAGTGAGTATATTATTAAAGCCTTAGTAAATGTGAATAAGCAAACGAGATAAACTAATTCTCTCAATAGAATAGAGATCTATCTAGCTATATTTCTATCTATCTTTAGTTTTTCAATGAGAAAATCAATTTAAAAGATCTTTCTTCAGCTGCATTCAGGTAACTACCTCCACAACTGTACTTTGGGCCATAAAGGTATGTGAAAAGCATTTAATTTCTGAGCTATTGTAGTAACAAAGGTAATATGCAGTCTGCTCGCATATCGAGTTACGATGCGACAGCCCTTTCGCTATTGAAGCTGGATGCGTTATGCAAATTTGGCGTGTCGCATAAAAGGAGAAATGCGTAAATTACAGTGTCAACATTACAACGCCCACTTTCGCCTGTTTCTTCTTTTCGGGGTGGTAGACCGCTGTGAAAATGCATTATGCACAAAGGGAACGCGATATCGAAACCGTGAACTTACCTCAAAAGAGGACGTAGCCAGCCTAAGGGCGAATCGGTGAATGGGCAATGGCGATGGCTGTATGGTAATTTCATAAGCTGTTGAATCGCGGTATTGACTTTGGCATTGTAACCCTTTACAGTATTTGTCAGTGTTGGAAAGCGAACGCAAGGGTGGCTGTTGTCAGCCGAAATGGCAACTGGACAACATGTCAAAAGCGCTTGCTCGAGTCATCATCAATCAAAAGGGGCCCGACGAAGCACTACAATCTATGTAAGTCGCAAATAAACGATGCTTACACCAAATCCGACAGCTGTCACTTGCAGTTGCAGTTGTTGCAGTTGTCGTAGTTGTTGTTGTTGCTGTTGTTGTGCAGTACAGTCAGTTGGCCACTCAAAGGATGCGTCCTGTTAATCACTGTTACAAGTCTGATTGAACCACGCAGCATTATCAATAGAGTTCTCGCTCTTTATGGCCTGTCATTCAGGCGCAAAATATTTATCACTCTCGACAGCAGCAGCAGTCGTCATTCCCTTTCCCCTTCCCATTCCTCTTCAGCTACCCCTAATTGTAGCGCATTGTGCCGGATTGTGAATGTGAGCCACGATGTCTTTCCCTCGCTGATTATTATACTGATGTTTATATGCAAATTCACGTGGAATAAATGACCTACCTACCCACTCTCTAAATGCTGCTGGACCCCAACTAAATGCACTCGACTGCCGTCAGTTAATTACAGTTTTTGCTTCGTTTTCGATTCTTGATTGTGCAAAAATTTCATTAAATTTCCGTTGCAATTGAAAAACTGCACTAGTTATACCTTGGAAAGCTGTAAGCAGGGTATATTAGTTGAGTGTGCAACTATGTAACTGGTTAAAGAAGGCTTGACAGATCTTTCGCAGATTTTTCGGACTATCTATCTAACTGCTTGCGCGTCTATCTCGAGAACTACGAGAGCTAAAGACCTTAAATTTGAAATATATATGCCCAAATACTCAACCTAATATAATTATAAACTTTTTCTTGAATATCTCAATTTTTTTTCATAATAACCTCTAGACATAGATATGAAGACTTAATTTTGTATGCAGAAGGCGAAGACACCTGCACTTTGGTGCGTAGGTTCAAGTCTTGCATAGACAGTCAAATATTATTACATTTTAACCCAATTAAAATTTTAATCTTTTGTGGATTTTTAGGGTATCTGCTGCTCTTCGTGCGCATTTCGTTGTCTCAGTTTGTCATTGTTATTAAGCAACGGACTTCCTGTATTCAGTGCCATTAAAAGTGCACTCTATTGTGGCTTCGATGTGTATGGACCCCGCCCAGAGCCGCAAAGCGTAGACAAATGGACGGGAGACAAAGCAATCAAAGGCCTCAACTAAATTGTTAAGTCCAATTGCAACATAATTGAAACATTTTTAGCCAATCGAGTCGTAGTCCCAAATGCAAAATGTCACTTCTTGTGGGCGTTGAGCTATGGCTCTTGACATTTGAGCCGTCATAAATAATTTATAACCATTTGGGCCAGCCATTGTGTGTGGCTCAGCCCGAAGCCAAGAAACAACACTTTTAGCATGTTTTATGGCTCCGGTACATATATGTAAAAACGTATTGCTGAAGCCGACAAACTAGTTTCGGTCCCCCGCCCCGCGGGCGATGCAAATTTAATTGCGCTTCTTAATTAATTTAAAACGATCATTTAAATAAATTTGAGTTCAAGTTGAAATCTCCGTTGACACACACAGACACGTTCACATTATTCAAATTGAGATCGAATCACTCTGCTGACATTGAATAGACATCGCATCGAAACAATTCAATTGCAGCTCAATGGACTTAAGCCAAGAAATCGATTTTAATGGCTCAGCCCTGAAGCAGAGTTTGTCTTTTGGTCGATCCATTTAATTTATTTATTTTAATTATGCTCAATTATCTCAAAGGCTATTATGAATACATAAATATTTCTAGAACAGCTTAAAGTGTGTTCTTAACACTCGTTAGTCATTAGCTTGAATGCATTCATATATTATAGAATAACATCAAATGTATGTCTGATACATGCGACAAACAAATCAGATCGAAGCATTGTCTAATGCGTTTTCTATACAAATTTTATGCACAGTTCCAATTCTATAAATTTTCATACAATAAACCCAGAGATTATGATCAATACTGAGCAGATAAATTAGTTGAGCTATTGTTATTAAAAGCAACAGTTCTATTATAGCTTGTATGAAAAGGGTTTATTGATCTTTACCTACTGCCAATTTGAATAAGTCTTACAACTTGTAACTCCGGAGATCTGCCAATAACCTTAGCGTAACTTTTAGTCAGTCACACCCGACTACAACTGTCCTATTTGTTTTTTAGGTTTTACAACCAAATACCTATCTATTATCTATGGGCTGTGCATGATATATTAACATATATAACACACTATTAAATGCCCATTGTATATCACTATAAAAGTAAATAATAAAATCTGAAATCAATGCATTTAGGTCAAACACTTTTTAGCAACTGTCGTAAGTGAAACTATCTTTTAATAGCTTATAGTAAGGCTGAAGAAACATCGAAACTAACATAATTATAATATAAAAGATAATGGAAATGTCTATAAATAAATGTTTCTGCTTTAAATGAATATATTTAATGATTTCACTGTAGATATGTCTGAGCTTCAAATTCCATCTTAGCATATGTTGAACAGCTCTTATTTGCCTTAAAGCTGTGTCGCTATGGCTCTACTTAGCTGCTGAGTAACTGCTGCATAGGCAGTGAATAACAGTTACTGGTTAAATAACTGCTGATAATAGCTGTTGAATAAGTGCTGCATAAGTTCTGAAGAGCTGCTGCCTAATAAATCTTGTTTGCCCTAAAACTTATGTTATGGCTTTGCTATGACTCTATTCAACATATGAATAAGTGCTGAATAAGTGCTGGCTAGCTGCTAAATGGCTGCTGATTAGCTGTTCTTATTGGCCCAAAAGCTCTTTTGTTATAGCTATGGCTCTGCCCAACTGCTAAACAGCTGTTGAATAAGTCATGAACAACTGCTGAATAAGAGTTCTTGATTGCCTACATATCTTTTAAATAACTGCTGATTAACTGCTGAATATCAGTCTTGCTTGGAGCATATAATCAATTAATTAATTACTATGCTCATCTAATCATTCTAGCTTTAGAGTTTATGCCAAATAAATAGGACTACCTGGACTATAGTGCATTGCAGGCGTAAATAGATAGTTCTCAGATGCAGAGTCTTTTTAGATACACTTTTAATATATGATATACAATATATGCTATATATGTATATATATATGCTGTTATATGTATATAGGTATATATGAAATTTGTGTGAAAATATGAGACATATATGAGTCTATGCTCTTTGCTCTCTATAGTTCCTCGACAGCTTTCCTCCTGCGTCAAGCTTCAATAAAGTCAGCTGGCTTTCACAGCGACATCTGGCATAATTCAATTGTCAATCTTTGCCTTAGTTCGATTCACAATCTGTGTGAGTAACGCTCAATTGGTTGCAAGCGCGTAATTTCTATGATTCAATATGTGAATTGGAATTCGGCTACCTTTTTAGGTCTGCTTTTGTGTGTTTTCTAATCATTCAATTAAATTAACCTCCAGGCATTAGAGTTCCGTTCCAAACTCCACATGTGTTTTCCTAGTTTGGATTGAAAGTTTCTAACAAAAATAAATACAACGCGGCGGGACTACAGAGCAGCGACTGGGACTTGGGAATTCTGAGTGAAAAAAAAACTAACAAAGGGCATAATTGAGTTTTCATTAATGCATTGCGTGAAACTCTTTGGTTTTGGATTTAATGAAGAGCCTCGATAAAAATTAAAAACTGAGTGAAAAGCCAAATAAAAAATCTGAATGTTGACGGAAAAGCAACAAAGGGAAATGCGCTCTCGACTGTGCAGCGATTCAAGTGGAAAACAAAGGCTAATGCCAAATGCTGCACATCGAAGGGGGTTGAAAGGCGGCAGCAGCAACATCAACAACAACAGCAACATTGGCCTACAATTTTGTGTCGAGTGGCGTCGGCGTCGGCGTCAGCGGCGACAGCTGCAAGCGAATTGCGACGCGTGCGCAGCATACGAAGGCTGCAGGACATGCAGCACACCACGCCGGACGCATAAGCCTGCAACAAAGTGAATGTAAATCGTAGAGCCTCGCCCTAATACAGTTACAACCTGAGCCCGGAGATTGATGAGTGCCTTCGCCTGTGACAGCCTGTGACGAATTGCAGCATCGCAGACTCGCGCTCGCGTCCTTTTTTATGCAGTTGATGCAGTATTCTGTCCGCCCATGGGCCTAGCTGGCTGTCAGCGCGGAGCTCATTTCGTTAGCTGCCAATTTTACACTAAATCAGGCAATTTCTCACCCAAATCCCGCTTTGTTCACATTCCCGGGGTCGATCAGTAAAAAAAAAACCGAGAAAAAATTAAGCTGCTAAATGCAGCTAATAAAAATCGAATGGGATTTGCTACGAATTAATGCGCACTCAGCGCCCCGAAATCGTTTTGCGGTTTTGCTTTAATGCGATTTCAAAACATTCAGAGAAAAAACGAACTTTAGAGAAACAAGTGTGTTTAATAATCTTTACCCGGCTTTATAAAAATAGGCAAGGCTACGCAGAAATATATAAAATAATACTCAAAATTATTGCCGTGAATTGTCTACTAGAAATGGGCTGGCCATGCCATGCAGAGCTCTAGATATCCTATTAGATATATATGCTGTAGCAGTAAGCAAGAGAGAGACTTCTAGCATAGGCTCTCCCTCTCTCTCTGTAGAGTAATTCCTAGTCGAACTTTTTATAGGGCTTGCTGGATACTGGACTCTTGCTATAGTTTAATGAGCTCTAAACTCATTTTATTTTCTAGAGTTTTAAAGCTAATATATTATTATTATATATGTTTATATTTATATTAATATTTAATATTATTATTTATATTTTATTATTCGTTTTATTATTATTATTATTTATATTATTATTATTATTATTATTTATATTATTATTATTATTATTATTATTAATATTACTATTATTATTATTATATTTATACATCTTTTTCTTTAAGCCAAAACATTTGAAATTCTTCAAAAGAAAAACCTTGCTAACTGTGCCTTAGAATAGACCAAGCCATGTGTCTGGCATAAGCTGCCTTCGCTGAACTCCTTTAAAGATCCTTTTTGACTCGATTGGGTTTGATAAAGTGTGTGAAGTTAACGCCTCGAATGTGTACAACAGCTGTTACATCTAAATAGGTAACATATATATAAATATATATATATGTATATACAAATATATTTTTAAGGTCTCTGGCAGCGCGCTCAGCACGCGCCAGTTGTTTGTCTCACCTAATTGCAATTACCTTGTTGGCCCGAAGGCAAAGGCAAAGGCACAGGGGCCAGGTAAGCGGATGAGGTTCAGGGCGCCGCTGTGCGCCGTGTGAATATCTCTATGGCCGCAATGTGTGCATCAGATGTGGAAGTAGGCTTCAAATGAAATCGTTTGGCAATGGGATTTGGCCAAGGGGACGAGGCGCAACATTTGGTCGGAAAGATGGGTCAGTGAAGCGCGCAGAGATCGTTGATCCATTTTGCACGCACTGCTGCCTCGAAACTGAAATCGAACACACACACATCACACACACACAGACAAGAAGAAGCAGCAGAACAACAACAAGCTGCGGTAATCAAAATGATGATGTGAAAATATTTGTTCATTGGGCATGTCGTTTTCATTTCGAAGCCTAATGGATGTAACTCCATCTGCGCATCCAACTTCGTCTGCATCTTCAATTCCATTGCAGGTTTCACTTACACTAACAGGTGAGGAGCCTGCCGAATGCCGAATTTCTATGGCCCTAATTGTCATGGGCCACTGAAGCGCAGCCCGAGGCAACTTCGACTCCGATGCGCGTTGATGATGATGATTATTAAGATAATAATAACATTTAAGTGTGTGTGCGTGCGTGTGTGTGTGTAATTTTTGAAAAATTAATATCCGGTCTTTTGTCTGACCTTGCTCAGACTATACATATCTATATATATATCAATATGTATTTCAATGCATGCTAAAACAGTTATCAGCAGCAGGCGACAACTGTGTCAACATGTGTTCGCGCCAGATACAACCTGCAAAGATACAAGATACAAGATACAAGATATGAACGCGACACGAAACAAGGCAAGGCAATTTTTGGCACAAGTTCGCTACTTAAGCGCCTCTTCTGCAGACGCCTCTTTAGCTCAGTGGCAGAGCACTGGTCTTGTAAACCAGGGGTCGTGAGTTCAATCCTCACAGGAGGCAACTGAAAGGAGTTTGCCAGGAAGATTCTTTTTTATTGATACTAATTACTGGTGGCTAGTGACAGGAGAAACTATGTAACTGGAAGTCAACTTTATAGTATTTATGAAATGTTTATCTAGTACGTAAAGGAAGTCATCTTTATAGAATTTATGAAATGCTTATCTAGTATTTAAAAGAAGTATTAATATACTTATTTAGTAGAATGTATATCTAGTATATTTTTCAATATATCTTGTACTTAAAATTAGTATATCTAGTATTTATTAATATGTATTTTTAGTAAATATATTTATATGCATATATCATATTTAAATGTATATTTAGTATTTATAGTATGTGCATCAAGTATTTAAAATTATGTCTAGTATTTCTAATATAAACATCTTTTACTTATAGTATGTATATCTAGTATTTAAAATTGATACATCACGTATTTATATTATATTTATCTAGTATTTATATACTATAACTGGCATTCATAGTATGGATATCTAGTATTTATAATATGTATTTTTAGGAAATATATTTAGTATCTATATGTATCTCTATTTATATTTATATGTATATGAAGTATTTATAGTATGTATATCTAGTATTTAAAATTGGTACATCTATTACTTATATACTATATCTAGTATTCATAGCATGCATATCTAGTACTTAAAACAAATATATCTAGTATCTATAATAAGTACATATATTGAGTAATTTTAATATATATATATATGAAATACATGCTAAATCAACAAGTTCTTTATAAGATCTTTTTTAGTATTAAACAGTAGTATTCAGAGTTAGGTAATGTTTGATATTTCTCTAATGGCAGTTACCCTCCTAGTAGATATATTTATTATAAATATATCTATTTATAAATAATAAATTTATAATTTCTATCGTTAGAGTCAATAAAGGTTTGTCTACAAAGTATTTATAGACTCTTATTATGTATGTTTCGAATATTAATACATCTATATTAAATACTCGCACTATTCACTTTCTGTAGCTAAATCTAGTTTATAATTAAGTCCCATTAACTCAATCAATTCTCTAAATGTTGCTTGCGTAAGTCTACTAAATACAGTTCAATATTAGAATAAAATAAATACAATATTTATATACATATAAAACATATATTGAGTATAGCTGACTTTTAAATAGACTCACTAATTTGAGTAACTTTTGAGCAGTTGCCTTATTAGCTATGCTGAAGTATTAGCTAAAGCACACAAATGTTTAATCAATTCATAAAGTTTTCTCTCGAACACAGCCCACAGATCTACGCACTTCATTAGGCGCTCTTATCAAGGCAGCAATCAATCATTATTCATTTATATAAAATGAAAAAGTATTTTGTGTTCCAAAGAAAAAAAAACAACTTAATGAATAATAAAACATTCAAAATTCCAATCATAATAAAAAACTCAAGTCCAACCTAAAGTTGATAACAAAACAGTTGTAAAGAAAGCCTGCTATTTGCTGTAATATATCCGAAGAGCTAGAAGAAAGAAAGAGCTCTCCAAATATCATATATAAAATAGTTTATCTATCAACAAGTTTTGACACAAGCAAATCTAGAATATTTATAACACACTGAATTATGGCTATATTGAGTTACAGCCAGTAAATAATACCCCCAAACAGTTGACATACCAATAAAAACATTTTAATATAATCCAAATATTTAAGTATAAATTATAAAGTGGGAATTCAGATTATATTAATATTTATTAATATTAATATTTACTCAATTTTTAAGCTTATTTTGTTGAGAAAATGTTTGGTAGAAATAAAGAAAAGATTATGTTGACATGTGATTCTTGTTCCAACAAATATCAACAAATTCATTCAGGTGAGAAACCTGAGCGCACGAACCTAAGCAACATCATGCAAGAACCGTAAATAAAACTTCTTCAATATTTCTCCTACTTTAGATAAGATCTCTTTACCTGGCAAAGCAACTAAAGTTTCTATCGCGAGCAGCAGAAAAGTATGACAGCTATAATGAGACGATTATATATCTTTGCTTTCTTGTTGCACTTTAATTGCGAAATTGCATTAGTGACACAATTTATGGTGGCGCGCTCAGAGAATGTTTTATATTTCATGGACATGCACATGGCAACAGGGCCTAAGAATGGCAATGGCAATGGGAAAAAGCACCTGACGCACGTTCAACTGTGGGGTGAAAACTGCATCTCTGCATAACTGAAGTATCACACGCATAAATTGTTTTAATTGGTTTAAAACAAGGGTCGGCCGAGAGGTCGAAAGTGCGGCCAGGCAACACATTGTCATTGAGCATAAATTAGTTCTGCCAGGCACAGAGACACAGACAGACAGAGACCCCGTCCTGTTTCAAGTGCCCGGAAAAAACAAAAGAGAAAAGAAAACAGAATTACAATTATTTTTGTTGTAGCCTTTGGTCCGCTTTCAATATCAATGGCAAGTGGAAACCACTGTCAGTGGTTTGTCTCTGTCTGAGATTTTCCTAGCACTCATGTTTACGTTGCTTGTTTTTCGGGAAAAAGAAAAACCATAAAAAAGTGGCTGGTGGAATGACAGCGACAAGTGATTGCCCCCTTCGACGTGGCATCCTCGAAGAAGTGTCTGTTGTTTTATGATCTACACACACAACATAGATATACATACACACACACACAGATACACATATATCGCTGACAGCAGCTCTTGGTCTTTTGTCACTCGGCTAAACAGAATCGAAAGACTCAAGCAACGAACTCATTCATCTTTGGCAATTCATAAGCAAAATAAACCGTTTTTGATTTGGTAACAAACTAACGGTTCACTCTTCTCTCTTTTTACACACTTTTTAATGTACCCGCAGCATTCATTGTTTTCAGTGCGAGTTTTGATTTATGGGCGGCAACATTAGCTAATCGAAAGCTTAAAAAACAAACCCACCGGGCGAGGGCAGCACTTGAAGCGCGTGCGCGGCATGCGAAAGGACCTTTTGGCATTTTTGGTGCATCCTTTTTTTCCTTTTTCGGTTTTTTGATTTATGTCTGTTAGTTGCGCGTCTGTTTTTAATGATTTTTAATGGGCAAATGTAATCAACGCCGGCCTGACACCCAGCGACTACTACAACCCCCTACACACGCTACCACCAAGGGGAAGGGTTGCTGTTTGGGTTGTTGTGATCATTTTAATTGACTTTGCGCACGAGCGCGCACTGATCTGTTGTCGTATCTCAGATGCCAGAGCCACTTCACAGGGGTACTCCACCCTTGCCAGTCAATGGGTTTATCGATTCGAAACTGGAACACATTTTCCAGGCACGGAAATACGCATTTAAGACGTGCATCGTAAAAATCTCAAATCGTTGCCAGCTGTCACAATAAGGAGACGCCTCCTGCCAAAGATGCATTCTTCAGCGACAGGGGGAGGTGGCAGAGGAGGAGGCAGTGAGTTCAATGCACTGCAATATTATTAACTACAAATATTTCATCAAGTATTCTTCATTTAAGTCAAAGGCGAGGAGGCATTGTCTAGGTCTAATTCGTGCAGCTCACTTAAGTCGCTCACTCCTCACAAAACCCACCACCAAAAAAAGCAGAGAGAGAGAGAGAGAGAGTGAGACCGAAGAGTGAGCGCAGAGTGAGTGCAGAGCGAATGCATTACACATGGCGAGAGTCGCTAGAAATGTAATCGAAACATTACTTACATGCTTAAAATTAATAGACTTTTGTTATTAAACTTAAGAAGAGCAACAAAAGCAAAACGTAGAGCTTAATAAAAACATTCCAAACAGAAATAAACAAATCGTTAAAATAAACCGGTTTTATCACGTATGTGTATATGTTAAACAAAACAACATTTAGAAAGCGCAAGCAATTCGTTTGCCATATTTGAAGTATAATAAATCAATCATAAAGTCCATTTTAGTGAGAGAAAAAACTCCCAATGTTTTGTCATCATTCCGTTGAAACGTATATTACTCAACACACATACATGTTAGCATTAAACTAAAACATTGATTCATCATAATATTACTCAAAGAATATTTGGTTCATTATCTATGAAGTATCAAATAAGTCTAACTCACGCATGAACGCACTGCATGCATTATAAGAGACAAACTACTGTAAGTGCCCTCGCACAGTTGCTCAGCCTGCTAACATTGTAGCTGCGCTGCCGCTGCTGCTGCTGTTGCTACTATTGCTCTTGTCGCTGCTGAGCACATTCAGTCAGTGCTCAAGTAGCCGTCGCGCCAGTCACAACGCAGCGCATGCTCTCTCCAACGGTCGCTTATATTGCTGCGCTCTTTGCACGCTTAACGCCGCGCTTCAAGATTTTTCGTATTGTTCTGCCGCGCCTGCGCCTACTGCAAGTCGACTGCGCTGCTGCGTAAGGAGCTGCTGGAAGTGGAACTGGAAGTGCAGTCGTCGCGACGACGCATTTGTTTATTTGTGTAAATTTCCTGCTTGCCGTTGCCAGCAAGGCGAAGGAGGGCAGGGGAAGCAAACGGAAATGCAGCGAAAAGGAAATCAAACGTTTGACAAACGGAAATTGAATTGTGCGCGAGTGAGAAATTAATTGAATCAAAACAGCAAACGGCAATACTTAAGCAAAACGCCAAATCAAACAGTACAAAAAAAAAAACATAATAATAATATGTATGTGTGCGTGTCTGTGTGTGTATAATAACAATAAAGTAAGCCGTGGTTAGTTACGCTTAGCGTCAACAATAGCCGCTTGCATTGATTTATAGCCCGAGTGTAAATAATTGCCACAAATGAATTTAATTCAGACGAAATTCCTGCATTGATGCGCGATTTGGACATTTTCACAACTGACTCGATTCCACACACACACACACACACACAAAGGCCGCATTTATTGACTGAATTTTTAGACTTTGTGGTAAGTGCAACAATTAACTGCAAATTGGCGACCTACAACCAGCTTGACAGCGGCTTTTAGTTCGTGCAAAGGTTGTTCGTCATCTCAAAAGCTGGGTACAGTGCAGCCTGGCTAGAGGCGCACCTATCAGCAATGATGTGGCACTCCTCCTTCTCAAAAAAAACCAGATTATTATGCAATGTTCTTCAGAGATCTTGCACATTCGCATTTCAAGCTGAAATTATATATTACGAAATCTAGAGAGCTCTGTCTTAGCCAAGTTTATATATGCGTCTTTATATGTGTATATACAGCTAACTCTTTTTGTTCTGCTTTTGCTCTAGACAAAAGAGCTGCCCAAGTTGGTCTGAAAGTAGTTGGTTTATCATAACAATAGAATTGTGTTATGGCCTTTCGCAATCAGAAGGGAAAAAGGCAAAGAAAATTGTTAAAAGCTTTTAATTTACGATGCTTACGACGACTATTAAAACGCGATTTGAATTGCTGATGCTGCTGCTGCTGCTGCTGCTGTTGGCCAAGTGCCTGCCTGACTCCTATAGTAATTAAAAGCGGCTCAGGCAAACACACACACATATATATATATTCATATATATATATATAATATATATCGATAGCAAAATCAAGAGTTCAATTGGAATTCTAATAATATTTGTAGCTAGTCTGCCCTTGGCCTCTCTCTCTCTCTCTATAAATAATTACATATGATTGACTTTGCGGTTGAGTCACAGTGAAGCCAGGTAATTGTTGAACACAGAATTCTGTGGCTGGCAGGTAGCTCGCTGCTCACGCTGTCTATTTGCCTCGATAGTCTCATTAATTTCTGTAGCGATTGCCTTTGCATTTGAATGACGAGAGATTCATTGAAATTCCAAAAAAAGGGCCAAAGAACCCTTTGGCCAGGGACAGGATGTTGCAGTGCGGCCGGCAGAGATTAACATATTTTTCAAGACTTTTCTGTTGACTTTGTCTCGTGTATTTGTTTTTCCCATTGGTCTTTGTTTCGGCCCAATCAACGACTGTTTTCATATGTAAATCTTTCTCCATGTCTAGACTTGATCTGAGCTCCCTCTCTCCCTCTGCCTCACCCTCTCCCTCTCCCTCTCCCTCTCTCTTCCTCTCGCGCAGCAGTTGTTAACGAGCTCACAACTGATTTGAAAACTATTTCTAGTTTCACTTTCAATAACAATTAAAACTAAAGCCTCGGCGCGATCTAGATTTGCTAGATTTCGCTTGCTTTATCGATTTATATATATACATCCGATCGGCCACAATTTGCGCTTTCGTTTCGATTGATAACTATGAGTATTATCATGGCCCAGACTAAATCAACTTTCTAGAGTGGCTCGAGCATTTGGATTTGCATAAGTGTTTTTTGCAGGCAGCTGAGAAGAAACTTTCACGCGACCCAAATGACATTCTAGCTGAACCCATTGGCTTTAATTGTTGGCTAATTATCAGCTGAGGCAAGTACTTGCTACAGCTGCCACGGCACACCTGGCCTAAACCATATCTCTCGCGCGCTCTCTAGAGAGCTGAGACCTCGTTCGCGCTGCCGAAAGTCAAAGTCAAAGTTGAAGATGAAGAAATGCTAATTAAAAACAACAACAACAATAACAACAAGAGACTCCAAAAATAAAAAACATAAATCTATTCGTGTCAAGTCTATTAACTAATTTCTGAAATACTCGCAGCTCAGTTTCTCAGTTTTCTTTTTTTTGTTTTTGTTTTTTTTTTTTTTGACTGGTCCATTTGCTCAGCTCAGCCTCTATAAAGGTGATTACTATATTATTATCAATGTCGCTTTTGTTGCCATTGTCATATCTATTGCGGTTGTTGTTTTGAAACACTTGCGCACACACAAACAGTTGACAATTGTCAAGTGTCTTTTTGAAGCTGGGCGCACGAATTGAAGTCAAAACTATGCCAAAGGCATTCGTGCAGATAGCCGCGCTCATTGAGCACTCAAAGCTGGGCTGTGCCCGTATTTTTATCAGAACAGGCAGCTGTTCAGAAAACCCAAGCAAGTGTTGTTTGTGTTTATAAAACACACAAAACGTACAATTGTGCCCAATTGGTATTATCAAAAGTCGTTTATAATAGTCAAGCAAAGCTAACATACAATATATGCATACATATATATATATATATATATATATATATATATATGAATTTCACATATTAATTAATTAGTTATAAATTATAAAATAATTAAAAAAAATTTGTTTCCCAAATAATTTTCGAGTTGCCTCCTGTGAGGATTGAACTCACGACCCCTGGTTTACAAGACCAGTGCTCTGCCACTGAGCTAAAGAGGCGCATACAAATAGCTTGTCAGATGAGCTACAACATTTACGCCAACAGAATGTTTCTTAACAGAACTCCGACACTGTTAACAGTAGCACTCAGCTTTAACGCTAACAGCGCCATGTTAAATCAAGCAGTAGCTAACAGAGGCTAGCACATTTGCATTAAATTGACGCGTCATAAACAAACTTTGATTTAAATGTATTTGTACCTATTGTTACCTGGCTTGTTCGTATTAGAAAACAAAACAGGTGTCATCTCCATTTTAGTAATTGTTGAGAATTATTTGCATTGCTCGTATGGCAGCGGACAAGCAACACAAATTGTGGGCGCACTGAGCTCATCTCGCAGCAATTTGTAGGTGCGCTTCAAAACAACAAAAACAACAAGAAAATTATTTGAAATAAATAAAAATGTTAATATGTAAGCTTTGTGTATACCTACATACATGTGGCAGGCGACGGGCAACACCTCCTCCAATAACAAAACGCGTTTCAAATTGGACATTTTATACGTGGGGGCCTGACGTCTCCACAAACATTTCAGTTCAACAACAACAACAACAATAATGATAGAGCAACTGTATAAATGTTATGCGTTATGTGTGTGTATTTTCAAATGGAATTGCCTTTTGAATTCGTGCATTTAATTTGCATAAAAAGCTCATTACAATTTTCGTTCAGTGCAAAGCTCAGCGGCGCGTGGGAAGCCTGGAAGTGACGCCTGGAAGATTGGCAGCGATTGCAGCTTTTCACTTTACTCCACACACACACACATACACATAGCCAAGCTAAGCTCAAGTAATTTATTTATGTAATTGTCAACCGATAGCGATCAGCCATAATTCGAATGCATATTTATGGGCAAAGAGAGCAGATCCACTGAGGCGTTTAATTGCTGCGCTTTTTCCCAGCCAAATGCCTGCCCATATAAACATCAACAGAGACGTCACAGAAACCATAGAAGCGATCTTCTCTAATTAGAATTTATGTTCAATTAGCGCAGATAATCTGTAACAGAATGTACCTAAATATGCCATATAAAGAACCTTCTTTATATACGCTTAAAAATAATTGCTTTAAATTTTTATCTATTACATTGTGTGATAAAGTAACAAAACAAATATGGCAAAATGTACCAAGGTATTCCAAATGTAGTAGTGGTAAATATTACTAACTTAAAGTACCTTTGTTGTATAAGTGACATAAGAAATTTCTTTATGACAAATATGCTTAAAGTACCAAACAAATAGCAATGTACCAGCGAAACACTTTATAGTGTACCTAAACGTATTTATGCATAATAAAAATAATTGAAAACTAAATAAGTTAAATGTACCAAACAAATCATAGTGTACCAATCTAAATCGTACATCTCTTGAACTTTTAGAAGTACCTTTGCATTTTTAGACTTAATTAAAATGTTTTAATGGTTAATGTACCAACAAAATAGTAATGTACCTATATAAATAGTACGCTCTTACATCATTTTTGTAGTTAAAAAATAACTTCTATATGCTCATATGTAATGTTCAGTTAAGTGCCAATATAATTAGAGTAATATGCCATGAAAAAGTACCAAACTGCGATTATAAGCAATATATGACTATATCAGCTAAAAGCAATCAAAAGTACCTATTATTTATAGACTTTAGAATAGCTATTGAAAGCATTTCAAATGTACCAAAGTACCACTGTACCAATTGTAGCAATAATACCCGTTGTGGTACATTTCCAGCATACACACACGCACATATGTAAATGTGTGTCAAGCGTGATTAAGACTGTGTTTTCTGGGACTTATCTATCCCACGAGACCTTTCCACTCGATTGACGAGTTCGGGCGACATAGGCGACATCAATTTCAAGATTTGTGACCATTGCTTGAGTTCGTTTTCGGCCAAAGTCAAAGCCAAAGACGCGAATAGGCTAAAGAGCTGTCGCCTCAATAGACCGGACTCAACGGCCAACAACAACGAGTTTCTTTCACCTTGCAGTTGTGCCAGTTGCCTGACCAGCGCGTCGCTATCAAAGAGTCAGAAGCGAATGCAATTTCTGTGTATTTCGACATCAATTTAACAGTACATTTGCAACTAGTTCTTAGCTCAGAGTTCTTGGACATTACACGGGCCACACAACTCTGTTTGGCTGCTTAACTTATTACACCTGTGCCAGCCCCCCCAACCACCTCTTGCCCCGCCCAGCGCCGAAACGCGCTTGTGTATAAAAATATTTGTTTTTGTCAAGTTTCTGTTTCACTGTTGACTAACGCCGGAAACTGGCCGCCGCTTCACGGCGTGTTAAATGGATATATGTATATAGAAGCGGGGGTTACTAGAAAAGTTATATGTATAGAACACCAATTTGATATAAGACTCAGCCAACAATGGAATGGAATTTCATTTATGTTGGTTAAACTAAAATTTATAATGGCTTGGTATAAAAGTCTTTTTTCATTTAGAATATATATAAAAATCAATGGAATTCTTCTATTATATATTATTATATGCATAGGTGCTTAGAAACAGGTAGTCAAACCAAACGTTTCAGGCAAAACACAGTTCCGAAATGTGAACCGAAGTAAACTATCTTTATAAAAAAGTAGCTAATGGGCATTAGAGCCTATTGAATTGGCAGATATAAAAAATCTGAACTCACAATAGATTATTTTAAGTAAATAAAATAAAATATAATGAA